AATTTTTCGAAAACATGTTTTTTATGAGAAAATATTATTTTATGAGAAAGTTTGTGTCAAATATAGGCAATTTTTATTGTTTTTATACCATTTTTTCTTAAAAAGGCACACAGTTTAGTGATTAAATTTAAACCTTAGGTAGCGTTAAGGACGCTTAAGAGAATGGTGCAGGTCTCATGTTCGTTAACATCCCTGATTTTTCGAAAATTTAAAACAATTGGGCGTCTTCCTACAACTACAATTGAGAAGATACAATTTTTTAATTAATTAAATGTGTTCATCAAAAACAGATATTCAAATAACGCCATGTTGGATTTTTCGAAAATGTGAGAATTTGTTGAGTAATTTGGCGTCAAACAAGTCGCCCGCTCCGAATTTACTGCGCTTCGTAAACGTCAAATAAATGGTGATGCTAGGCGGTTGGATGCTACGGGAGTTAGAATTTGTTTATTTCATATTTATTTGTTCATTTCTTACATTGAATCTTTTAGAAAACATTAAAAGACTTTTTAAATTGCGTCCTTTTTAATTAAATGTGAAAACGAATAGATGATTTCGCTCTGCTTAATAAAATGTGGGTAAGAAGAGATTACATGTAAATGTTGATGAATATAAAAATATATTTAATTATTATATTGTTCTATCTATTTTCATTTTCTTGCTAGCGATATCAACAATACTAATTGGTAAATGTGTATCCCAAGCGAATTGAAGTGGTCCATTGTTGTTGTTGCAACTCATAAGTTTTTTTTATATTTTATAATATATATATATATTATATATATATATATATATAGTATACTTTATTTGTGAACGAATATACATAGTTCAGTATTTTTTACTACATCATATGTATTTTTTATGAGTGTATTGTACTTAAATGCTAATCTTAGCAACTAAATCATTCACTCATAGTTGTAACGCCGCATTGATACACCAAGGCGGCTATCTTTCGTTCTCGTTATATAACTAATAAATTATTTACGGCTAAAATTCGCGTCCTGCATCGTTAGTATATTTATATAGTACGTGAATACACTGATGGACACACTTGAATGACAGAAATTTTCCTTTAAGCATTTGAATTTAAAAAATGTATGCACTATTTTTCACTCTTTGTTTAAGAATTTTTCAAATGGTAGTTGAAGTGAAAAACAGAAATTGTCATATTATAATATTACATAGCCATTAACAATATCGCGAGAAAGTAGGGGCCATTGTAGCACCACTAGTTTTACTTTTAATTTGTTAATATTTTAAATATTTTGTATAAGACTAAATAAAAGAAATTATTCACCAAATGTTGAACATAATTATCAGCATTACGTTACAAACTATGACCCATACCTCTATGTAACGCAGCATATCGCAAACCTTTAACCTCCTCCCCTCTCTTTAGCGTTAGGTAATTTATAGATGACCGGTTGTGAAAATTGAAACACGTATTCTAGTACTTAGTAGAACATTCCTATGATAAATGTGATCCAATAGTTACTACGAATAACTGAAAAAAACTATTATTAAAATAAAAATAACGATATGAAAGTGAATGTAAAATGTGTGTTCCAGATGTCTTGGGCTGATATATTCTTTGCAGTGATGTTTGAACAATTAGGAAAAGCTGTTCATCCAACAATGTTGCGGTCACTGCCAAAATTAATGTCATTGTTATGTGATGTTTTAAGTATTCCCTGTCTTCAAAGCTGGAAAAAGCGACGATCTCCGTCTGATTCAAAATTGGTTCAGGTATTCAAAATATGATTCCCATTATTCACTAAGCTATATGCTATGTAATATACACCAGGCCAAAAATTCTGCCTCATTACTTAAAACATATAATTTCGTTAATTCAAAAAAATAAAACAAGATTTTGTTTGTCAATAATACCTGGATTTCGGTTTCGAATTCTTTTTTCACTCTATTGAAATGGATATAAATAATAAATAATAATAATAATAATAATAATAATAATAATAATAATAATAATAAAATAAATGAAAATAATAATGCCGATCCGAAATAATAAGTGATCGCGGTTTCGAGATCCGCCTCGAGCAAAGTTGTATTTCTTTATGTCTATATGTGTATGTCGTTCATTCATCCATCATTATCACCATTCGTTCATATTCATCCCCCCCCCATGACTGGCAACCTTGGGTATAAAAATAGGATTCAATATAATGCTGATCCTCCCAAAAAAGGAGTCACACTTCCCATTCGATAAATGTAACTGACCCTCGGTAAGTGCAGGTGCAAGTCCGCGTGGTCATAGACAGCCAATTCGCGACCAACAAAAAGAAAAAAAAACAATAATCAATATCAATAATAATAATAATAATATAATAAAAAATAATAAATAATAATAATAATAATAATAATAATAATAATAATAACGAGTGTACCCGTGCGAGAATTCTCGCATGTTAATTCCCACCCTTTGCCAATCCATTTCCCTATTCTTTCAATTAAGAAGAAAAGTTGTTAATGATACGTGTTATTTGTTAAAAAGATGTATAAATGTAACTTCTAATGTACTTCCAGAACATCAAACAAAATAAAAACCATGCAATTGATATCGGAAACAAATTTTCAATTAAGGTTTATTCTATATTATAGAGACATAGCGAGTTTTTGATGTATTTTTAGGTACTTTTCCAACTGCCCGCGCATACATACGTCACGTCCTACGACCATTTCCAGTTCAAATGGCCATGAACGCAAAAAATTGCAGAAAAAATTAAGATTATTTCATGAGAAATTTTAAAAATTCAATTTCAAGAAATGTAAAGTGCTTATGTCGTCACATCAAAATTTTGGACAAATTCTTTCTTGTAGTTAGGAAACTAGTGTTTCACATACGACCACTTTACCTAATGAATCTTAATCCGGCTTTCCTCTAAAATTATATTTTTATCTTGTGTGACCCGACTCGAAACACCATAACTCTTCTAATTTTAAAGATATCTTTATGATTCATTTTTTATTTAATAGCAGAAAGTCAATTATTTTTCCCAAACCTGAAATTGTTATATAAAATGCAAATTAGCAATAATAAAATACTCTGTAATCGTTATTGTTACTGGTGATTTTTAAAAGTTTTCATTCAAATCCCTGCAAAGTACATACATATTTTTTTCAAATATATTTGGCTTTATTAATACCTATTTCGAATAATCATGATTAAATTGAGATATGTCACAAATAAAAAAGTAAAACTGAAGTAGGCAAGTATCATTCGTGCAAATGGGAAATGACTCAAAAGTGTTATTAAAATTAGAGGTGGTTTGGTCATCTTTAGGTTGATAATTTTCGACATGTAAATGATTGCCGGCTAATATTAGTCTGCATACGAACTATGCCGTGGTTTCACATAATCTCTCCAGTCCCGTCTGTTATCTGTAAGAGAAGTAGCATAGGTTAATGGGGCGATGAACTCGGTATCACTTGTTTAGTCATCCGTTACATAACAAATGATAATGGTCCTCTATGCATTTCTTACATCTTTATCTGGGAGCAGTAGCCACACCCATGTTTTGGAGAACGTTACATGTTCAAGTTCGTTTCTATCGAATTTAACTTGAATCGAACGATCTTGATTCACATTCGAATTACATCACTTTCTGGACACAATTTGATACATGTCTCAGTGATACACATACGGTATCCCGACAGCTTGTCTTATAATGAAAACTCTGTTAACTGACCCAAAACAATATTTTGCACAGAAAGTTATTAGTTGCAGAGAGTCTTTTAAGTGTACGAAGATAAAGGGAACCAAATGTTAGGAAACTACCATTCAATTGTGTCTATTTACGGCTTAATGTTCCAAGAGCCCTGGGAAATAATATTTTATCATCACATTACTTCCACGCAATCATTTGGAATGAACAATACCATGAAAATTGATGCTGTGAACCTTTGATGTTTCTACCGTCTCGTATACGTACGTACAAGGTCTGTCCCAAAAGTAAGGAAGTTTAGCTTTTCAACGGTTCTTAGTTGTCTTAGTAGTCTTCGGGCCCTGGAGAGGTTAGAAACAGACAGTGTAAGCAGTTTGTGAGCGTCCGTATAGTACTCGTGTCGTACTTACGATGGAGAAATCTTTGGATGAAAGATATTTTGCATGAACCTGAACAAGACGACGGCGGACACTTTCGAGATGTTTAATCCTAATTTTTGGACACTTATAATTGGTAATGAGATGTGCATCTTCGAGTAAGACCCGAAAACAAAGGGGCAGAGAGCAGAGTGTCACCCCTTGTCGTCCCCGAGCTCCAAGAAGGCTCGCATGAACAAATCGCGCTTGAAAGTAATTCTCATTGCTTTTTGTTTTGTGACACAAAGCGGATAGTGCACAGTTAGTTCGTACCTCCTAGACACACCGTAAACGCCTAGTTCTTCAAACAAGGGCTCCAGAGACCGAACGACGGGGTCACTCGCGTCCGAGAGGAGATGAGCGCTTCCTGAAAACTTCGCAACGTCAGCGCGCCGGCCAACTCCGCTTTCGTAGCCAGGGACTACCAGACCCGCATCGGCGGCAACGCTCCCACAACCATCACATGCCACCTTGCTCCGCCGGACTTCTTTTGGTTCGCTGGGCCGAAAAGGGTCATGCATTTCAAGACTTTCGAGAACATCGAAACCAGAGCGACAAGGGCTCTAAAGGACTTCTTCGCCGAGGACTTCCTGGGAGCGTACGAGGCAAGCAAACCACGCTGGCAAAAATGTATCGACGCACGAAGGTCATACTCTAAAGGATTTTCAGTTACTGTACCTGATAAATAAATTTGTTTTTAAAAACTGCGTTAAGAAGATAGATTTTAAAATTAGGTAATGTTCAATTTTTCAAAAATTTGAGTTATTTTGTGTAATTTTGCGTGAAAATACGAGGGTACGTGCTGTTTTAACACCACTAGTTTTCACGAGTTCTAATACTTTTGTAATATAATAGGAAGAAAATAGATTTGTAAGTAATAGGCAAGAAGAATAAAACACAGAAATATAAAAGTCAATAAATATTTTATTAGCACTAAAAGTTTTACAAAAACATGATTGTGATGCATAAAATTTCATTAGGTTTTCCTTTCTGAAATATAATTCACAAATTGTACACTCCTGACTTTTTAAAATATACATGGCAGTTACATCATCAAAATTAATTATAATTTTCAGCAAAAGAAAACTACTCTGATAAATGTTATCAAAAGGAATGTTCGCATTGACATAATATCCTTTGAAAAAAATAGATCGTTTATCTGTGACCTCCCTCCATTTTCATTTAACAAATATTGGTCTATTATAATGATTTACTTACAGTACACACGTTTGTGTTAGCATTTTGGGGATTTTTTTGCCAATGTTAGTGCTACAATGACCACTCATTGACTTCAGATGTCAGTCTTCGGCCGTTTGGAGACATAAGCTTTAATGCTGGGAATGGCATGCACTTTATCAATAACTCCTTGTAGAGCAGGATAAGGTGAAAACATGTCTTTAAAAAAATGATTGAATGTTTCGTGGTACGCAGCGAGATAAATATCAGCCCAGCTCAGCTGTAAAAACAATTTTTTTCAACATGAGTTATATCCAATGACACGTTCAATGGGATTGTAGAATAGAATAGAAAATAATTATTATTAACTATTAATAAGCTATAAAATTAGGTTTTTCACCTGCTTGGGAGATAGCGTCTAAAACCAAGATGAGATTATTGCTCTCGAAAATAAATTATAAGTGTGATAATTTTAAAAATCTTTATAAAATTTGTTTCATCTCATTAAGTGAGATAAAGATGAGCTGTACCCTCCAAATCAAGAAAACCATATTTTGTCATTCAAATGTCTTCAAAGCTTTAGAAAACCAACTTTAATGAAATTCTCATATTTTTATTCTATTTATTTTCCTGTAATTACTTTTGCGTTGAATATGCTTAGGCGACAGCGCCTACAACGTTCTATACAATCAGGTTTTGTGGTCAAAGTTATTCACGAAATCAAAATTTAATAAATACAGTCAGAAGTACGCGCTCCTAGATTTGACAAGAAGTTCTAGTCAAAGTCCACAACTACCCGGGTGCGGAATGACATTTATGTAACCTATTACTTTTAGGTCACAGTTGACATTTCACTACGCGTGTCCAGAAAGAGGCATGATTCCCAGCCCTTGGGTCTTCCTATTGCATGATTTTCAACCTATGTTTTCCTCTTTTTTGTAACAAACTGTTCCGCAACAAAGTATTTTGACATAAACTGCGTTTGAAATGATGCGTTGGAAAGATTCAAAGGTGTTCATGTTATGAATTTAGGTCTAATTTTGGAGCCACGTGGAACTCAAACATGCGTAACGAAGCATCAACGTTGGTAGTTAAATCATCTTTGATGGCAAGGTATGTACGACCCATTTTTATTACCATCTGGCATGCAATGTCAACATTTTATACATAGCATTTTGTAGTTAATTTGTATAATTTATACTTCGTTTTTATATTTCATGTACGCATATAATTTTATTTCTGTAATTTTATTTTTAGCTCTGAGAATGATCGCTATGCGATCGAAAATATCTCTAGCATAATATATGTTTGATACCGGACATCTTTTATTGACCGTATTTATTTATTTACCGGATTTAATCATCTTTGATGGATTGTTCTCGCCTTTTTCGAGGTGGCTTGCCTATAACCCATCAATGACAGGTACTTGTTAAGAACAAATAAACTACAGTCTAGTACATACCCTCAATAATCTAGATCCTCCACGTAAAATTCTTATAGCTATTCTAAAGCCACGAAACCAGTTCACACATATTGATTTGTTATAACTTTTCATACTACACCGCGATCTTTACGGTGATCACGTGTTTCACAGTTCGAAGTGGCAAAGTCTATTAATGTAACTGTGGAATATTTGAATGACCGACTCGGATTCGGAGATCCCGTGTTCGTCTCAATAATAATAATAATAAATAATAATAATAATAATAATAATAATAATAATAATAGTAATAATAATAATAAAAATTATAAGAAGAAGAAGAAGAAGAAGAAAAAGGACACGAGCTTCTACTTTTGTATGTAATTATAATAACTGACTGATTTAAAGTGAAAATAGCTGCATACCGAACTATTCCTTCCGTAGCGTTATGTCGTTGCGCCGCGGTGTGGGCGTCCGGGCGCCGAGGGAGGAGAGGAATCTCGTCACAAGTGAAACTAGGTAGCTGTACTGTGGCGGATAATCTGATCGCCGATAAAAACGTACTATATCAGCCACGTGGACAGCGCTGGCGGAAGAAGACGCTGGGCTGCCACAAAGGCCAGGGAGCAAGGGAAGGGGGTTCGTGGGAGGAAACGGGGACGAACTCCGCCATGGCGGCAAACCGCGTCGCGCGAGACAACTGCGGCGTGACGCAGCTTCCGTCAGCCTCCCAAGAAAGGTATATAAGCGGATCCCGACCTACGCTCGATCTCTTTTTCATCTGATTCTTTGGCGCGGTAAGGCGTCCGTGTGGGTTGTGCGCGGCGTTGCATTGTATGCATAGGCGACCGAGGCGGGGAACCGAAGCCGCGTGATAACGTCGTGACAGTAGGTGTGCGGCATAAATCTCGCTGGTCTGGTCCTCCGCGTTAAGGTAATGGTGCATCACACCTACGACATGGTAATCTAATTTCGGGCCAGCGGTGGCTGGTAAACAGGGAAAGGTTCCTTCTTGTTAACGGTCAAATTTATTTGTAAATATTGTATATTTGTATTATGGTGTCGGAGTATTTTAATTCTTATAATATACTAATATTTCAGGCCGTTCACGTCTGTAATTTATTGCCCCGGCAAGACGCTACAGTACGAACTAAACGTCGCGTTTTAGAAGCAGGGAACTTCCCAAGCGCAAGTACACCACGAGGTAGGACATCAATCAATGATGCCTTATTTTTCGTGGCGAGTGTAAAATGTACAGGTACGAAAGGGCTGGCCAGCGAACCTCAATTTTGCACGCGGGCAAAGCTCAGCGGGCGAGGGGGACTTGGGTGACCGCGTGGCCCGCGAATGTATATCGACAGAAGCCGCGTCACGGGGGATTGCGATGGCTTGTCTTCGGGCGAGTGGCACCTCCTTGTGCTTCGGCTGAGCCAAGCGAGATGGCGCAGTAACGCGTGCGCCGCGGTGTTTAATTAATAGATCAATTACTTGACGGAAGCTTAGTGAGCCAGTCGCTGGTAGGCGGCTGGGGAAACGAGATTGCCTCAGAGTGTTGCCATAGTGTACATGTGTCTTAAATTTAAAAGTCTGTAAATACAGCAATGCAAATAGCAACAGCTAGTGTCTGTGTTCGTTGTTTTCCTATGACCTCTCAATAACCTCAGTATTGCGCGTGAATGAATATCCTCCATCCTGACCCCACATGTTACTATCCTATCCCCTTGACCCCCACACTCGTCTCATTCATAAAATTCGAAACCCTTTAGGTACACGAAAATCTGGTTGTGCCTATAACGCATAAATAAGGTCATATTTTTTTTATATCCTGCAAAATCACACTTCCAGGGTTTTGTGACGATTACGTCTTCTAAATTAAAAACGTTTCGTCTTTCCTTAGCGTATGTTTGCGAAACGAGTACCCGAATTTTATTAATAAAATAGTATAATAATATTTGTGAGGTCAATATTTTTTGGTTTCGGCATATGCAGGAAATGAAACCAGAACGGAGAGGTTGCCAAGGTAGCAAGTATAAATAAACATGCCCGAGAAAAATGAATGATCGCAGTAGAATCACGCGGGGAGGGGGGATCAAAGCTCATTGCAATGAAAAGTGTATGTGTATATATATATATATATATATATATATATATATATATATATATATATATATATATCGTGATAATGTATGAAGGCAGTGTGATGATAAATTATGAAGTTTTGCAGGTATTGTTTGCGAAAAGTCCAGCGTGTCTACGAGAGTCATTAAAGTTTTCGGATACTGGTTGTAACTTGGCATTGTATTTGGATATTCTACTGGATTAACTGTCGGCTGTGCTATACATTGAACTTCTCCTAGTTTAACGTAATTTTGTATTTTATGGATATTCCACTTTTTGTAAGAAATCTGAATGTGGGCTGATTAAAGCTAGTTGATGTTGTTGTTACGTTGTGTTTTTCCTGGATACAACAGAAATTAATTGCTGCAATTAAGGACTAAAGTTTTGAAGAATTAAATCATCCATCCTGTAATCTACATTTAGTCCCCAGTGATTATTTTCTTTTATAAACAATAATAATAATAATAATAATAATAATAATAATAATAATACAGAACACCGGAATTTCGAATTCTGGGTATGTGGTCTGTTCTGATTATTCGAAAAAATGTCCCGTTCATGTACAAATACATCTATAGGATTACAAGACATTGCATCGTAGCGTGCGATGTGGGGAGGGGGGATGCCTAAGTAGAGCATCATCACATCCATCTCATCTCACATCTCAAGCAGATTCAGTCCCTTACGGCAAAAGAAGATTATCGATTTTGCAAGTTTCTCCAAGTGAAAATTACTGTTCGGTAAAAATGTGATATACACCAGAGTTTCCAGTGCAATAACCGTTTCATTTCGACAAGTTGTGTTTCAACAATTAGTTCTTCATTTCTACAGTAATTATAATACCCTTTATTAACATCACATATAAGCATTTTTCTATTTATTTTGTTTATTTTCCCTCCACAAATTTTGTTCGGATTATCCGAAATTTCGAATTTGCGGGGTTCGGATTATCGAGGTATTATTCTGCTATAATAATACATTTGTTAAAAAGCTTGCATGGTCACCAATTTGTCTCCAATAAACAAGTGAAGTGGCAAGAAATGAGTACTTTGAAGAATAGAAAAATAATTATTATGTTTCTGAAATATCCTCTTTGACTAAAAAATGGAGGAAGTATATTGAACTGGAAGAAATAATGTTTCGTCTATATCGTGTTACTTCTATTGTTCTTCAAATCTGAAATCTTCTACTTGGTAATACGTACCTTTCCACCCACAAAATATCCACCATTTGTCTTTACTTGTGCTTCCAATCGAGGTAAGAATAATGGCACAGTCTCCTTTAAAAATTTCTCTTTCTCCTCAGGCTTTGATGCATCGTCTACTTCCCAGATGACTTTAACGAAAGCTGAACAGAAAGAATAAAAACTTATTTATAATAGTTTGTAGAAGAAGCGAGTGCAATTCTTTCGTCAGATTTCTAAACCATTGTCATTCTATTCCAGAAATTAGATCATATGAAATATACCCTGTTTTTTAGTGTAATGAATTCTAAATTATTTCGTGTATTGTTGTAATTCTCATGATTTATGTGATCATAAAGTTTTTAAAATTATAGTGGCCAGCGAATCCTTAAGAACCTTTCAAAATCATCCCGCCAGTCTCGAAATTTGTTCAAACACATACCAGCTTCTGAATCGAATTAGGATAGCATTTTTTTGTTTTGTTTTTTGGTGCTCTTTAGTGATTTAGCAGCATTTGAGCAATTCAATTTGAAAAATAAATTGTAATCTTTATTACATTTTTCAGAAATTGTATATTTAACAGGGATTAATTAAATCAAATTCGAACTTCTAATACGAAATATCTTCAAATCAGAGCCCACTATTTCAAAGTTGAGATCAAATGAAAAAGGAATGAGTCTGAGAATACTTACTTCTAGGGCATGTAGGGGGGGGTCGAAAATGATCACATTTTGCCAATTAACATGAATTAGTAAATTTCAATTAGCTTCAACAGAGTTAGACATGCGAAAGTTTCCTCTGATTTTTAGGCCACTCGATATCCACGTATGTTTTGCAGATCATGTTAGCGCGCCGTCTAGCAGAATGCATGTACATGCCGATCATCTATACATACGGGATTGTCTATCAATCAAGGACAAATGTCAACGTAAATATGCATATGATTCTCTTAAATGCAATTGCCCACGACATCGTTAGCAATAAGATATGTTCAACCCCTCTGTACTCTTAGAAGTTTGTAGCATTTAGTCAGACACCAGCATTCATTGAACTCACCCATCCGTAAATCGTTGAGATTTTCTACAGTTGCGTCAATTTGGGCTGCCTCCCAATCATTTGAGCCCGCCAAACCAATCTTCTTTGCAATAAAGCGACCAATAGCTGTTGACTGATTTAATGTCTTTCCATCAAATTCAAGAAGAGGTAATTTTCCATTAGGGTAAGCTACGGAAAAAATAGCATTTTAGCAAAAATAAGGAATGTTTAAAAATTGTTTGGAGTTAAGTGAATGCGCCAGGGAGAACTAAAAAAAGCATTTCAGCTATTTCTGGTCAGGGGTATATATTTTTTTGTAATCTAAGGTTTCCAAACTGAGTAAAAAATGAATGTCAAGATAAATATGAAAGTAAACCACATGTCAAATGGCAATAACTGTATAGCATTCAAAATATAAATCAAATATCTAGAACACAAAACTCTTTTTTTTTTTTTTCAAATTGACATGTTTTTATGTTACATATGCCAAGGTTGTGTGTCCGCAGATTGCTTTAATAAGATAAAACCTCTCGTATATTTAAGTGTAAGAAGTGTCTGATGTGGTCGAGTAGAAGAACGAGAATCTCTTCATGTTTTAAAGGCTTGTTGGTAATTTGTGCTTACCCGATATGAATCGAAAAAAACAAAATCGTTCGATGTCCAGGAGCTTCAAATTTTGAAGAGCAAGCAAAAAGGTTCTAAGTTCCGGACATCGATCATCTTTTCTTTACATTAATAGTGGAAGGACTCTGGAGACGCCACTGAATTCACTGACAATGAACTATTTGTACATTGAAAGTTGAATTTATATTTTAAGAACAATTTTCCTCCGTGAACTCGAAACCGGCAAAATGGATATCGAACCTTTTTGGTTGCACCGATTCATATGAAACGTTTTCTTTTTAGATATTTTTTTGTGACGTTTTGAAGAGAGGGAGGGGGAGAGATGGGTGGCTTCCAAAATGAAGAGAAGAGATGTTCAGTTCGCCATTCGCTAACGGAGTTCTATCGCTATTAGGAACGCTACTTTACAAACAATTTTTAAATCCTTGGGAAAAAATTAACTCAATAAAAAAACTTAGCATCCCTTTTGCTAATTTCTGACTAACTAAGTGTGAAAAACAAAAGCCCAATATTGAGTTATCTCTTGCTATCCGCAACCGTAACATCAGCTTTTACCTCTTAAAAGACGTAATTGTAAGACGTGACCCACATATGGAGGTGAGAATTCTGCGTAAGCCATTGCTTTCACTCCGCAACTTGCAATGCATGAGCGAACACCTTAATCCTTATTATCACCCAAATAAACTGTCGTTTCTAAATCGCCCGTTAATCGTCATAACAATCATTAATATTTTGGCTGCCAACATTCTGTCGCGGATGTGCGAAACGGGACAAAATTCAAAACGTTTACGAGTACACGCTCAAACACAACAAAACGAGTACAGAAAACATTGGACAATGTATTGCTGCAATGCGCAGCTTGTCTGTCAGCCTCGTCGCGACGGCACCGGCACATCGCGTCAAGAATCGCGAATTCCGTCATTTCTTGTGACATTTGGAGTTTTTATAAATAGAATGTTATATAAATGCCGAAAATGTTTGATTGTATTTCCGTATTATCGAATGTCAAAAACTGAGAAGGAGGAGAACTTTAGATAATAACATTGAAGGTACAAAAGTAAGCATAAACACGACGAAGAGGCCAGCACACAAGCACACTTTGTCAACTCGCATTCCGTCCGCCAGATACTACCTGTGTTTGTTAAAAGGAATAAGTTTTATTGCATTTTTAAAGATTTGGAAATAGTGTTAACATGTAAGAAACAGAAAATGCGATTCAACATTTTGTTACTTTTCTTTAAGATAATGTAACATATTAGCCACTCTTTATAATTTTCATATTCCGATAAGCATACTCACACGGCTTAAGCTTTGGCCACTCGTTTGGATCCAATCGGTTGTCTTCAAAATCTATATCACCGTACTTAAAGAGAAAGCGAATGAATTCTCCTAGAGCACGAAAATCAAAATAAGTGAACTTGTACTGCGGAGCCATGACTAGAACACCGTTCAAAGCTATGCGCAAGGGTTGTTAAGAGAGAAATGCGTTGATAAGGCGCACTGAAGCCTTTTATCCCGCTCTCAGCATGAGTCGCCACATCCGAGGATGCTGACGTCAGGAACCGAGGCCAGCGAAGGACCAATGAGAATCATTCTGCAGCTGCGGGCAACCTTGGCGCGTACAACGATAATTTCTGTTTCTTTACTTTGTAGTTGTTACGAACGGGCAATAATAGAGTTTCCATCTCTTCATCAATGGAAGTAAGGATAATTATTTCCTTCTTAAAATTTACTATTGCTGATAGTGCTTGAGAATACGTACGTGAGCCTTCTGTTGTATCTGTAGATATTTTTGTCACGCATGACAGTAGGTGCATTTGGGCTACAGTCATTTTTAAACGCTAATGTCATTTGTTAGTGAGTATATGTAGTTGTACATTTTGCGCTTTCACACAATTAAGGATATAAACCTAAAATGTGTATTCCCTGAAAATGGAAGATAATGATGAATGCATTTATCAGATATGTATGAAAACAAGTTTTCAATGTTAGTTATCTATGTATCATGGCCTAAAGATAATTTTTTTTATAGAAAAACTTGTTACCACCCGAGGTGGAGTGTACGGGAGCCGCGAATGCTAAGAGACCCTGACAAACGTTTTTCGGCGGAGGTGCATTTCTACAACTAATTTTGTATATTCATCTATAACTGTTATGGTAGCATATTAACAAACGTTATCAAATGTTGATGGTTTCACAAATTGTAATTATAATAAGGTAATTATCATAGTTTAATTTTTGTCGATGTTGTAACCAACAACGTAAACGTCCAGCGATTATTATTTGCTAACTTCATAATTTATTGCTAAGCGGATTTTCGCCTATAAAGAAGTTTGAGCTTTTTCTCAATGAAATTACCCGATTTTTTTAAATACATAGTGGTGGATCTAGCAATTGTCAACTATCCTTTCATAAAAATGTCATTGATTATAGTAATGATAGTTATAAGTGATGCATTACATTTTAAATTTAAATTGGACAACAGGAATTCTTGCCATAGTCCACTGCAACATTCATGCACAACTTTTGATGAATTTAAAACATTTCAATTGCATTTTCAGAAACATATTTAACTTTATGTCCACAGTTAATAGTGATTAAATTGTTCCAGAATTTGCAAATCTCTCTTATTTCGTTATTACTGAAGAATAAGATATTGAATGACACGAAACAAAATAATTACTATTTCCGATTTTTCTGTAATGAATGTGCAGTATTTTTCTATTGTAACATTTATAGAGCTCTTATTTAGGCGCGATATAATCGTGGCAACAGTTATGCTAGTTATTAAGTTGTTGTTGTTGTTGTTGTTGTTGTTGTTGTTATTATTATTATTAGGGGAAGGGTTTGTGTCTCAGACGCATTTTGATGTTTGTATTTTTAATTTTCTTTTTTCTGGACATAAATTGACCGGAATATTTTTTCTGGATACTATAGAGTTTTATACACCACAGATATTTTTTCAGAATGTGGTCTTACATCATTGATTTATGTGCAAACTTACAAAAGTGTATTTAGGACCGAGGTACAACACAGGTGTTGTAACTTGGACCCAGGTATGTTGTACCGTTCATAATTATGTTGGGAAAATAACAACGTATTAGGAAGAACAAAGCTATTTATTAACTTTTAAATTAATAAACATTAAAATCTAACATAAAAATCGTAAGTCGAAATAAGGCATAATTAACCGTTTCAGTTGAACATAGGCTACAGTAAATGTTCAGAAATATGTTTTAACTAAACTGGATAAATCAATTTCAAATGTAACTTTTGAAGCTGTCAAGAGCTGATCTTTCCAGTCAGAACTGGATCTGAAAGATTCATTGAGTCATCATTCTTGTCGATTGCATATATCGTAGTATCTTCCTTCATATACTTTTGACAATTCAAATCTCTTTTTTTTTTGTTGATGTATTGCACGTCATAATTTTAATCTGATAAATACAATAAACAATAATATATTAATAATAAATAATCACATAAATTGTAATGTTTTTGCAACATCATAGCTATGGCTTTTTCAGTATTCTCTTTGATAACAAGTTTTCTCTTGAGACAGATTGCACTTTGTGGCATAATTCTTTCCTTTTTTATGAAAATTTTGGAATCATAGGCATATCATATTTCGTTGTAAAGCTAAATTGATTACAACAAATAGAGTAGTACTATAATTGGGGAATACCTCTCCAAGGTACAACACCTTGGAGAGGTCAAGGTACCAAGGTACATTGTCACCCTGAAGTGCATGTCTTTTCGCAATTTTGAGGTAAGAATGAGCTTTATTTCAAACACGTTGTTCTGCTCTTAAAACAATACGGGATGAGGATTTGCTTTCGTTTCAAATGGGATCTTGCATATTTTGGCTCTATAATTAAGAGAAGCCAATGAAGAATATTTACTTTTGACAAATGATTTTACGTTTTAATAACTTCTACTGCAACTGAACTGCCAAATAAACAAATTCCACTGCAGAGAGGCCACTATTGACAGTTTTATGAACTGCATACAGTAATATTCATAAATTTCGCTAGGCAGAGCTAGAATTAGCCTAGGTCCAAGATGTGTGTGTGTGTGTCCAAGGTACAACACCTTTCATTATTATTATTTATTTTATTATTATTATTATTATTATTATTATTATTATTATATTATTATTATATTTGCGTATCGGACATTGTTGACCAAGCTGTACGTTCTCTTCCGCGGCCCAAATCCCGAGAGTGATTAGCGTGTGTCATTATGGGGATCACATTTCCGACTGTATCCCAGGTTATAAAAGGTTATTACGCCTTGAATTATGAAGTTATAGGATGGTGATGATGGAGGGACAATCACAAATTCGACCATGCCTTCGCAGGACTCGAAGCATCCTGGACTGCAGCATCCTCGGCAGTGACGATGACGGCGACCTGCGCCACGGGACCGAGATGTTGTTGTTGTTGTTGTTGTTGTTGTTATTATTATTATTATTATTATTATTATTATTGTTGTTGTTATTGTTATTGCTACTAGTACTACTACTACTACCACCACCACTACAATTACTACTACTACTACTACTACTACTACTACTACTACTACTACTACTAGTAGTAGCACCAATACTTTTTGGCTTGTCTTTTAATTCGTTTCTTGCTATCTTGTCGTGCCTGCCTAAGTCCCCCTTCCACCATGTTGATTAGAGGTTCAGGAGTTTACTTATGTATCTTTCGTCTTTTTCTTTTCTGCTTATAATTATAGACAAGTATTTGCTGATTTTGCTCCAGTTACTTTTGCTTTCAACCATTTTGTCAATAATATTGTCTCCCGTTAGGTTCTCTCCCATCTACTGCAGTGAAAAGCTGTGTGTTCTGCCTTGCTATAGCGGCTTAGGTCGTCTGGTGTTTTGCCAATTCTATGTGTAGACTAAAAATGTCCATACTCTGTCAGTAAACGGGTAGTCTGGTACATTAGGTCGCCATGTGTATGAGCTGAATCAGCTTTATCAAGCGTCGTGTCCATAGAGCTTTGGACGTGTTGTCCCACTCGTTCTGCCATTCTTTGTATGATTATTCCCAGGTCTCTTGTGTGGTCATACCTTCCTCTCTTGCTTCAAATAATGTCTTTCGTTCCTGGTCCAGAATGTGCATTGGCATGGAATGTGCACCTGGCAGAACCAATGCAGGTTCAGCTGAAACGGTTCTATATACACATACAATTCGCAATGCCGTTTTTCTTTGCGTCCGGATGTTTTGCCTTGTTATATATAAACTGTGCTGATTTTGCCCATATATGTGAAGCATAGAGAAGTCCACTATGCATTACGGAGCTCAATATTTTGTTTTTTCGTGACTGGGGCTTCTGATATTTGGCATCACCAAGCTGCGTGCGCCAATTGTCTTTGACGTTTCTGTAATCATATTGCAGTGGCGTCCATAAGTCAATCTCTGAACTATCATGATCGCAAGATATTTCACTGTTTTGACTGTATTAACAACTGCGTCTTAAATCTTGAAAGAGACTGGTATGGTTCTTCGTTTTCTTGACAAAAGAACGGCCTCCATTTTATGGTGTGTCAGGGTTAGCGAGTTTTCTTTCATCCATGTGTTCACTATATGCATTGTTGCATTACCATTGAATGTGAGTTCTTCTGTCGTTCCTCCTGTAACTTCAATTGCTAGATCATCTGTGAACACGATAACAGTCGTTCCTGTGGGAGTCGATTGTCGGAGAACGTCATATATTGGGTTCGTAGGCTTCCGCAGCTCTGAAGAAGGCCACAGCAAGATGGCCGAAACGTCAGTACAATTGACCGAGACGCGGCTCATCCCGGATAGCCAAGTATACATCCATCATATACTATATTCCATTGGGTTGGTCCTAAAACTGAACCCTATGGGATTCCTGCTGTCTTTTCTCCCTTGAGTGCGGGCTGAGGCCTTTGTGGCTGCGGCTTAGCATTTCTGCTCTGCTTCAGCTCCACATTTTTGCTTTGGGCTCCTAAGGTTTTGTGGACCTTGCAGCCACCAACTTTTGCGCTGTCTTTGCCCTTTGCGAACTCGATGCGCGCTGCAAACCTGCGTTCTGTGAAAGACGTACTTTGGAATAGTTAACATTAGCTCACAAAACTTCAAAACGTGAGAATGTGCCGTGAAATCCTTAATGCAATTTAACAAGATATTGGCACTTTCTTTTGCTTCTTTCGTTGCATAAATAACAGACAGTGCAGAACGAAAAGCTACCACATCAAAGTGATTTCCATAGCTTTCAAGTAATGAATTGAAAGCACATTCAGGAAGAGGCGCATTGCTACATTTAAAAAAAAACTTCAAGTTTTCGAATTCTTGAACCCTTAGAAGTTTCTCTCCTGGCTCGTTCTCGTGACCGTTCTCGTTGACGTTCAAATCTCATATGCTCAAAACCCCCTATCGTTAACCTCCGAATATCCTCCGTCCTTTCGCCATCATTCTCCTTAATGTTTCAATCTCTTCTCTCCATTTGCGTCCCTGCCTAACGCCATCAGCTTATCCTATCCCTTCCTCCTAGACCCACTGAGACTCCGCCCTCTCTCCTCCTGGTCCAATAGTGCATTCCATTTCTTTCTTTTTTTAACCAGATTTTGGATGGGGCCGCAGGAAATCGGTCCCAGTACTGCGCACTACGCTTCTCCCGTCGCCCTCGCGCGGGCACGTGCGCCTATCCGATTGCCTCGCTGCCGCTGCCGTGAATCCCTGTGTGTGCTCGACACCCGATCGAGCTCGCGCGCTGGCCTCGTTACGGCTGCCCTACAGATTGCTGCAAGTGGCGATCATTGTGATCTGCCTGCCTTCTTTGGAGTCACAATTGGCAGTTGCAGGGCGGAGGCTAATTTTTTGTGCAGGCGCTCGCGCTACGCACGTGCGGGATTCGACATGCTAGCTAGCGGAGCCATAAATATGTCGGCACCCTTCGCTATTCCACAGTGAAGGTTACAAAGAGGTTATGTTTGCAGCTAAATCATTAATTTACCCAAACGTACATTATTTGCACTTATTGTTTGTTTTTGTTTCTATTGCTATTTTCAAATATCTATTAAATAACAGGGGACACAATTAAAATATCGCCAGGGCACTGGGACGATATGAGGAGGCCCATAACTAAAAGCAATGTTTCAATCAGAACACCTCTTTGGATAAATGAGAAAGACTTAATAATTTAATTTTCCTTTCAGTCCGATTCAATACATTTGACATATAACATGGGAATTAATGCAATTTGTAGAGTTTTATATGATAACGTAGATTTCAAGATAAAGAGCAGGTTTATAGAATACAGGTAAATAGAAAAAATAAAGAAAACGTGAAAAGTGGATATGTTGCGTTTTGTTATGGCAAGGACCTCCTCACACTATCTATGCGGACTTATGGTAAACATACTTTCAACACTACTCGATACTACTCTTTTCTGACAGCAGTAAAATTCCTGTATCAGTTTTTTTCTGGATAATTGTGAATATCTCCAATACAGAAATAAAACCTACCTAAAAATGCAAAAAAAATCATCTGGTTCAGGTGTAAGGAATGCTGGTTACAATATTGATAAGAATTTCCAATAATGAAATAGTTCTTTTATTTTATGAAAATTAATTTGAAACCCCGAAATTCAATCTGCCCCATCAAATAAAGCAAAGCAATACCTAAATTATATCTTTAGAAATTCTGAAGAATGACATACTACTGACAGAATTTAATTGCTAATATACATTTTGAGAAAAATAAATTATAAATAATACTTCATATAACTCATTTTCATATAACTATATAATTACAACTTCATATAACAACATATTAATCAAAATGCAGAGAATGGTCGTTTATTTAGCCAAGACTGAATTGCAGGCAACGATCGAATAGTTTTATTTAGATCAGAGAGATTAGGGTAGTTCTTGAGAAGATCTTCATCCATTCCAACTACATTGTATCCTTCAACTCCAGACGTAAAGAAGATGTCAACCCATGAAAGCTGTAAATAGAAAGTACATGCTATATATGAATAACAGAAACATTAAAGACTTTAAAGCCAGACGCTATAAGAAGCAGAAACTGGTTATGACCGTTTATTGAAAATATTTATGTGATGAGATTAATGTATTATGTGGAACATTGATATCTAGACTTGCCTTGGTGATTAATTTGTGTTTTTGTAATAACAATAAACAAATTTCACGCACGCACCAATAATTGCTCAGTGTGTGTTCTGTATTTTTGGAAAAGAAGAATGTAAATATTGAAACATGATTTTCTACACAAGTTGTTTATGCCAAGTGCTTCTGGAATTTTGTAGTTAAGTTCAGCCAGTTAAAACTTGTTAACATGCAATAATACTTTACATCACTGCAAAAAGAAGCATGGCACTAAATACACAAACAATATAGTAGAAAATCAATAGGAAATTACTAATCTTAAATTTACAATTAGTGGACCAACATACTAGCAGCATATACATTCTCGCATTATTTCTTAATTTGCAATTTTCGAAAATAATGAGAGTTCAACAATAAGACATCTTCGTCATCCTTTTAAGCATCCCTTTTTTAAAAAGTGAATAAGTGATAAAGTGAATTGTGATAGGTACGTGTTAAGTCTGTCTAATTTTTCTACATTTCACATAATGTAATATTTGAAGAACATTCCTACATTACAATAAGCTGAATATTGCATGGAAGGAAGGATCATGATGTCGACTCACAGAACGCATTGCAAGATGAGTAAACATATCAATATTTGTCTTCAGATTGTTGAAATCTTATCATTGAAAGTACTACTATCAAAATACACAGAATATGACCAAAAAACACGGTTTACTTATGAATCTTGATTGGTCGATTCTTTCGTGTTTCCGGGCGAGTCAATTTTTATGTTCAAGGGTCTTGTAGTGCTTGCTTTTCATCACAGGCTATGGAAGTGTTCATTCCCGCCGGATGGAGGGAGGCGGCGCCGACGTTCATGTTGGCTTCGGGTTTTCCCATCGGCAGACCCTTCCTCTTCCGGGACATTCTCTAACACGCACCGCGTTGGATACTCGGATTGACATGCCATTTTACCAGCTTATTCTGCACCTTTCAAAGCCTCTACGTACAAAATTTTATGTGCTGCGAAGCATTCCAAGAAGTTGTTCGGAGGCAATTTGTATTCAGATCTTTCGTGACTGCCTGCCGAAGCGCGGAAATCGCCTCGCACTTCCGGTCCTGCGAGAGCCGTGCCGCCGCTATCTGCCTATCTGTCGGCAGGGTGTCAATTGACTCGGAGGGCATATAGGCTTCTGCTTCCATTTATTTAGACCTGCACCTGATGTAAATCAGCTGTTATGGGTCATCCAATCGCGAGTTAAAACGCCACTACAGTGACGTCATGGTGACGTTCATCCTTCCCATTGGACGACACCCTAACAGCTAATTTACGTCAGGTGCGGCTCTAAATAAATCCTTTTATAGCATATTGGGCGACGAAAACGGGTGTTTATGGGTCAGGTTCAGACTGACAAGCAGGTCGAACACATGCATGAATAATTCAAATACAAAAGATATGGGTCCCTGAAAATATTACCTCGAAGTACGATAAATAAATACATAAATACATTCTACTTATACTACATACTACACACTTTCACTTTTCGATTAGAAACATTTTTCACAATAATGGGGTCTGATAAAAAAATGTCAAAACATAGAATGTAACATAAATGTCGTAGTGCACTGTATGTAAGTTTATTTTTCAGTTTCCTTGAAAATAGCATTTCTTTAAGGTATCCTTACAACTGTAGCCCTCAGTGGCTCGTTGGTTAGCGTGCCTACTTTTCACGGCGCAACCCGGGTTCGATTTCCGGCCGGGGCAAAAATGAATTGGGCATTTTCCTTGCTATGCCTCAGTATCTGTTACTCTGGGACGATGGGAAAGGGTTGAAAGGGTCTCAGGTTGAGAAGACCACAGCGTAGGGATGGCTATGTGCTAACCACACGTGTTCATTCACCCATGGCCGCAAGGCCGGGACGCTGCTGGTCAAGAGCTCGTCAAGAGCTGCAGTGCCAAAGTACATACAAACAACTGATTTCCATGGAATCAAGAACGAGTGTCTCTCTGCACTTCGAAAAACGTTCCTGGCGCTGCCGATGCAATGGCTCGCCCGCTGCGGTAGGCGCGGAGGTCACGAGAGGTCTTGTTGCAAAGCGCCTCTGAAACATAATTTCTAATTCTCCTCAGCACTTGAAATTTGAATTCGTGGGTTTTGCATGGTGTTCTACCAACTGCCATAATTTCCTGAGAATCTGAGTATCCAGCGTAGCGAGTGCTAGCTGTAAGTGTAAGAACCCAAATAGTCCCCCTCATGTATAGTAGTGCAGTGTGTGTATGTATAACTAAGGTATGAGGATAGTGCGAGAAAGAGGAAGGAAAGATATCGCATGGGCTGTGTCCCGTTTGTTAGGGTACTACTCCGGCATTCGCCTAGTACAGATTAGAGAAAACTACTGATCAGAGCCGGCCACCACAATTCTCCTCCAGACGGTGACTGAAATCGACCTAACTATCTAACTACTGTCAAAAAACCTGCCACCATCTGGACTGGAATGATAGCCCCTTCTGATCACGAGGCACAGAGACATCAGTTGAGACATCATCACCTGAATCACCTCGGCCGGTACACTCATCTTAATTTTGCTGAAATTATTTTAGTTTAAATTTTGTCAACTTAATTACAGATTTGTCATGAAACTTACTGCTCAATAAAATTTAAGTATTCAAAAATTAATATTACCTGCCCACCAACAAAAAATCCTCCATTGTCCAATACCATTTTATCTAGTTTTGAAAAATAAAATGGAAATGTTTCATTAACAAGTTTCTCTCGTAGTTTTTCCTTACTTTTACAATCAGGAGCAAGATATACATCAAGGGTTTCTGTAAAAGAAAAAAAGAAAATTAAAACAAATGTTTGTATTTTATTTATGAACAGTTTGTTCTAATGACTAATGTCAATTGCCCACGTTTTGTCAAGTCCCATTTAGTCATCACATTTATATTTTGTAATATTGAACTTAAATATTTGTTTTATGAGATAACCCTTGTTATTTCTCTAACTGTCAATGGTGAGTAAATCTGAGTAAACAGAATGAATTTTTAAGCAGATTTTATGATCATAAACAAATATAACTGATGAACTACTGCAGAAAAAGCTTCCCTCAGGGATTTGCAGCACTGTGGAGTGCAGCGGTAGTTTCCAACGAAGTGTAAATATTGTGTAGTAATGCAAATAAATCTGAATAAAAAACTCCCTGTCTGTGTTTAACTCACATCACGACGTCACGTTCACTACATCGCCACGTGGTTTGTGTGTGATTGTGTGATGGCGCCATGTTCGAACAGCTCAGTATCGCTGCTCCTGAAGGCATTTAAAGAAGCATGATATAATTTCAAACTTCCCGCCTCGGAGAAGCGTCTAACAAAGTCTAACCTTGCTCAATAAACGACGAGAATTTCTTTCCCAATTGAAACTAAATGTACTCACTTCGAAAAACGGCTATGGATAGGGCACCCAGCCTCCTGGGCGACCGCGACGAAGAGTGCTCATTGTTCATATTTCCAGGTAATTCAATTTTATTCCCATCAGACGCGACGAGGTTGTTTGCATTCTTTTAAAATCGAGGAGCCGCGACCATTTTTTTAGCGATCGTGCGAGGAGTAAGCAAGTACACGTATGTGGCGCAATTGAAGTTGATGTTACGTGCTGCAAGCAAGTATCGTGTAGTTGCTTTGAACCAGCGAAAACGGAGTGAAAACGAAGAAAGCAATAGAAGTGATTGAAATTCGTAAGGAGAACGGTTATTTTCGTCCAGACAGAAGGTAACCATGGACAATACCTTTCAATACTAGATTAGATTTATTAAATAATTCATAGCAATTAAGTGGGAGGAAAACTTGGTGCAGAAATACACTAACTTAATTACAGAAACTTAAACAACTATACAAACTCTTCAAAAACGTTACAAATTTCATGAATATTTTCACCGTTTCACGCTTCATAAAACTCCACTGCACCAAACCTTTCACTTCACCACAGTTCACCGCACTGCCGATACAGGAGTGTATGTCTTTCTTTACTCACTCGTTTCGTCTCAGCGCACTCGTCACTGCACTGCACAATAATAATAATAATAATAATAATAATAAAATATATAATAATAATTACATGAGATTATAGTCAAACATAATATACACATGAAATAATCTTGAGAAGTCTAGTTAATTAATTAGATATAAATACATATAATATAGCGCATATTAAAAACAAATAATAATTAACATATAAATAAATTTAACTAAGTTAAAGAGACATAGGTAATTGCATGGGAATTTATTAAATTTATTTATAAACTATCGCATATTCAAGAAACAATTATTTTTAAATTGCTCAGGCTTTGAGGAAAGGATCGAAGATTTGTTTCAAGCAACTGTTCAGTCTAATAGTTGGATTCGCGAATGAATTCCAACGATCCGTTTTTCTGAATTCTTGTCTGAGTTTTGTGTTTGTTATTCCGCTACTTGCCAGAAATATGTAGGTTTCCCTAATGCGACTGTAGAATTTTTCCCACGCCAAAGGCTGTGTAAGACGCTTTATACATTGCTAGAGACTGACTTTAAATCTTTCCTCGGATGTGACCCAACCTTACTTGTCCCTGAAGTATTGTGCATACTTTTTAATTTCTTTGGTTGCAAATCTGTATGGGTCCAACATACCCGCGCCATATTCTAATAAGGTCGACTAATGACATATATGGCTAGTCTTTGGCTCTCACTGTAACTCTGTTTTAAAGTATGATAACAAATGATAAAGATTTCCAGCTTTCCCTACCTGCAAGGAAATTGACTGATTTTATCCCCAGCCAATACTGATATTAGGCTGTATTCCTAAGTATTTACAAGACCTGACTCGATTACTATTATTGTTCAGTTTGTAACCAGAATCCATTGTAAAATCTCGGACCTTACCAACGTGATGGACTTGCTCTTTGAACTTTTATTTCATGCCGTTTGTTTTCTGCCCAGATTAGTTAATTTGTGCTAAGTCTCGTCTGCTCAAATAAGTCCATCGTCTTTCTCCGTTGATAATCCTATAGATTACGCAGTCACTGCAAAGAATCGTACATTTGAAGCTAAATATAGTCGGCAATTCGATGTCACGAAAGGCCAGAAACATAGTGGTCCGATTACACTTCTTGTGGAAATTTCCTGACGTGACGCTTCTCGAGTTGATAAATAACGTACGAATTCGAAACTTTTCTGTTTCTGTTTCGGAGGTATTCGTTTATCCACGCTTACACTCTAGTGTCTATACCGATCTATTCTTTCTTTATTGAAGACGATTCGTGTGAACAACATCAAAATGCTTTGGAAAAATCTATTATCTATCGCGTGACCTTTATCATTGATAGCTTCATTGATTCTTACGGCAAAGGTAATAATCTTTTGTCCAACTTGTGTTTAACTTTTTTTCCATAAAACCATTACCCCGGATATGCTATGTGCGAAAACTACCAAAATTTTGCAAAAAAAAAAAAAAAAAAAAAAAAGTACATGACCTTGTGGCAGCACAGAGTTAACGGGATTAATCACATACAAATTAAAACCAGAGTTTTTTTAAATCATCGTGAACATTACGGAACACTAAGAACGTGTAATTCCTTTGTATGTAGAGAACGCAACTGTGAGATTCGCCAGGCTCCCCCTTTGCCCCTAGGGACCGCTAAGAGGCGCCAACCCATCAGACGAGAGCCTCGCTGCAACCCCCAGTTTGTTTGTTAATGTGCTGAAGGCACAGACCAATGTCCATCTCCTCCCCCCTCAAACCCGCCACCTAACGCGAGGGTGAATACAGAATGGGAAGTTCCCGGCTGCGAGTCTGCTCCTTAAGAGAACATCATCCTCACATCATTGAGAGAAAGAGAGAGACAGAGAGGAGAGAGCTATAGGAATTTTCTAGGGTGGAACATTCTAGAAACTTTCGGGGAGATCTAAATGCGCAATAGATTTCGACCAATCACCACGCAAAATTTCCAGAGCAGAAAGAATAAGGGATTTCAGAAGCTTGGAGGTAAAAGAAGATATGCCAAATGACATTTAATATTGGACTGCCCCCTAGATCAAACCGCAGGTCGAGCAACTGGACGCGTTCTAGCGTCCGAGCGTATAGTTTTGTAGGACTTCACCTGTGGCCGCACGCCAGGTCAGACCGTTCGCTAGGTCGATTCACTGGATGCTGTTAAAACCTGCCGCACTCAAAGACAGATTGACGATGAGTGCAAGTGCAAATTTAGCGTGGCGTGTGTGTGTGTGTTGATCCGAAGACGACTGCGCATCGTTGCCAGCAGCAAGCGAGTCCCGTTGCTGGGACCCCTAAAAAGCCTGTTATCCATGGCCTCGCTTTGCCTGGGAGCTGAGGCCAACCTTCCTCCCTCCCCAGTTGGAAACAGCTGGTGGGTCGTCGACCACCAGGAGTCGCCCCAATGGAGAACGCAGCCGAGCAAGATTACGGTGTAGTTTTACTATAAACCAGGCAAAGGTTTAACAAGAAAGCTCTTCAAGCGGTTATTAAAACAAAGGACTCTTGATTAACAGGACTCTCAATTAACAGGAAATTTGAAAGGTTAGTACGTAAATAGGCGTGACCGCGTTTGGTCTATATTTTTTGTAATTTAATTCATAAAGTGTAATTCTAATTCTGATGTAGTGAGCTAACAGTAGAATTTCTATTTCATAGTAACATTTCCAGTAATTACATTACAGTTATGTTCAATAATTCAACAACGTAAGCTTTTTCCATTCTAACAATGCTCACCCTTCCCTTTCACCGAAACAAAGTATCCTGTATGAACCTGAGCTAGTCGGTGCACCAACAAACAGAAACCAAAGACGCGCTCGTGACAACCTTAATGAAAGAACTAAAAATGGAGAAAAATATTCTTGGAAAGAAAAATTATTTCTTCAATTTTGTTCAACCGCAACGCCTTGAGTCGAGTCAAATAGACCGGGGAATATCCATTTTGGAAAAAACGCTACATATGGTTTAGGGGCTATTGATGTTGACGGACGGACGTTAAAAAAAATCTTTGTGTCAGGGGAACTCGTAACATGTACTTCCATTGAAATCTCGAAATCGATTTTCCGCAGAATTACTCAACTTTCTCTTATGATGAAATACTACTTTAAGGATATTAGAGTAAAACATCGTACTAATTATCAATTTTCATTGAAAAATTTGGAACCGTTTCAAAGCAAATGACATTAAGCATTACTGTAACTGGGAAATTTGAGGCTCGTTTTCACAAAAATTGTTTAAATTTTCAATAAACTTTTGACTCCAAAATTTTCCTAAATTAATTTATACATATTGGCATAATTGAACCAAGATTAGTTATTTTTTCCCTCGTATATTTCTCTACTTTACTCGAACTCACCTTACACAATCTTTTAATTATGACCAGACTCAAAGTTATTTAATTTATCCATTGTTTTCTAAAATGTAAAATTTGTTACATTTTATACATTCATTTAAAAAGTGAGAGTATTTTTACGAGAACAATGTAAATTCTGTGTTTTCAGGTCTTGTGCACATTAGTCCTCAGCGACATACAAAATTATATGTAAATTTTCTATTTTCTTAAGACTGAATAAAGTATTGTATTGTATTGTTCCTGGTCAAGGGTATGATAATGAAAATATGAGAGGAAAAAATTACGGACCACAGGCTCACATTTTAAATGTAAATCTCAGAGACTTTCTTTTTTGCCGTAATACTCTCAATTTAGTAATTAACAAGAAGCAACATTAAATTTTTATGTAGTAGACTCTTTCTATAATTCAAAAACTATTTGTTTTTTTTCATCATAGACCAGAAGATGGAATGTTCTATCAAAAAATGTTGTTCAGTTTACTTTTAAACTGATTTCTACTACCTAACCATTGTGATTTTGTTTATGCAAAGTTTGCCACAGCTTATCAGAAATCCATGATGACCAATATTACGATACAGTAATTAGATATAAAGCTGAATGCTTGTTGGAAAAAATACAAAATGTTCAATTTATGTGTTCCCTTGTTATTTGGTATGAAATCTTGTCGTCAGTGAACATCATCTCAAAAATGTGGCAAAGTCCTGATTTACCTATTTCATCATGTATTGAAAATTTAACTTTTAAAAATGAACATTCAGACATATTCCATTAGAAAGCATAAAAATGCAATTCCTGCTTTCATCGGGGCGGTAAACCAGTGCTCGAAAGATCCCATTTATTATTTTCTCATTTCACCATCTATCACAAATGTAAGTTTAACAATAGCTTAAAAATATATTTCCCATTGTGCAATAGCCAACTAAGCATCCCCCATAGCTTCTTAGCAGAATTAACGTTGTGTTTGATAATTTTGTTCAGTAGATTGCTATCTTTTTTATTTTTCACTTATTTTATGTATTGTACTTTGTATATTTTGTGTGTGCAGTATTCTAAAGGAAATGCTCCTGTACAGGTAAGAAAAATAAATGTTGCAAATGAGATTTGATCGTTCAAAGAAATGACTGCCCCTGCCAGGAATTGATCCTAGATCTTCCTGTATAAGCCCAGTTTCTCTAAACTAGCACAAGTGGTTACAGCAACTGGACAAATAGCTGATCTGGGTTCAATTCCCAGCTAGGGCTGTCAATTCTTTGAACAGTAAAACATCATTAGCAACATTACTGCTACTAAGTAGCTATGAGGACACAATGGTTCGTTGGCAATTGCAAAAGTATTCCTATGCTATTATTAAACATAACTGTGACTAGGTGGTGAAATGTAAAATGTCACAGGGGCTCTGAACTCCCAAAGGCTTTTCAAAGAGTTGATCATCTCTATACTGGGATATTCATGTTCAATTCCCGGCTGGAGCAGTCAATTCTTTGAATAGTCAAACATAATTTGCAATATTATCATCATCAACAACGGTTTCAAAACAATAAACTCAATCATAAATACCAGCAAGACTATCTCTCTAAATTTCATGAATTCTCGATCTAAAGAAAAACTCTCACAACATTTGCTCATAAACAATAACCCTGTAACAATATCTCATGAAACTACCTTCCTCGGTTTAACAATTCAAGAAAACCTAAAATGGAATGCTCACATCTCATTTCTGAACAACAAGCTCACCAAATCTTGCTATGTCCTATACACCCTCAGGTAAAGCTCCAACATTGAGGCACTTCGAACAATGAGTTTTGCAAAGTTGCACTCACACCTAAAATATGGTATAATATTCTGGGGCTATATCCCTGAAAGCACTTGCACATTTATTGCCCAAAAAAGAATATTGTGATCAATAACCAGATCATCTCATAAGCTGGAGTCTTGCAAACCCTTATTCAATAAACTAAGGATTCTTCTTCTACCATGCAAGACATAACACAATTCATACATTTAAAAGTAAACTGAAAGCTTTCCTGCTTAACAACCTGTTTGTTCTACAGTGTGAAGGAATATTCAAATCACAACAATATTTCCCTTAAAAAATATAAATAGATAAAAAATTCTTATTCCATTTGACTTTCTGGTTAATTTAACTGTTTCAAGCTGAAGCAAAGAAAACAGAACTGGCATATCACATGAAACTTACCAGTGTTAAGATCCTTTATGGTATCAGCCACAGCATCAATTTGTGCTTCCTCCCATGCATTGTTTCCTGCAATTTTAAACTGCCTTCCCAAATATCGACATACAGCTACAGTTTGATAGCCAACTTCATTGTTTACTTCTAATGTAGGTAATTTTCCAAATGGTGTAGCTATAATATTAAGCATTGCAACTAATTGATAAGCACAAGATTAGCCACAGGCATCATTTCAAAAGTCCTACTTTATTAACTGTTGCATAAACTTAACTACAATAAACTAATAATTGAACAATCAAATTATTACTTTAATTTAAAACTACCCATTAGTTTACAAGACGTGACTTAATCTACCCTTAATTTTTCCTTGCAATACAAAACTAATTCTTTTATCACTGACAAATATTTTACCACGTTTAAGTTGATGCCATTCGTGAATGCTCACGCGGTTGTCTTCAAATGGTACTTCTCCATACGATAGAAGAAATCTAATTGCTTCACCCTGTCCTCTGGTATTATAATAGTTAAGTTTGTATTTAGTTGCCATGACTGCTGAACTAACAAGAAACTTCATGAAATTGGTATCTCTGAGAAATAATCTAATCTGGAAAGGATAATGATAAGAGGAAATGTCACTTCAAAGACTTTCTCTTGGGTAATAGTCAACTGATACATCCATGTTTTTTGAACATTTTATTAGCAATATATAACTCTTATAAGTGGCACATTAAAAAAATACTCTGAAAACTTTACATAACAGTGATGTCAAGCTCACTAAGGATTAGTAATTTAATCCTAATGGTATTTTAATCTCAAAATGTTGTGTCTTTCGCACAGAGTACCTGAAGAAATTGTCATTATCTATGTTTGTCACCTTATTTTGTCAACAAACAAGAGACTCTCAGTAAATCAAGAGTCACGTGAACATATATAAATGAGAAATTTTTAATGCAAAGCAAATAAAGCATATAAATCATGAATGCAGATCAATGATTAACACTCAGTAACAGGGCGTTTTGCAACCCATTCTTTGATTCCAGGCAACTCAAGAACAGTAGTACGTAGAGCTCGTAAAGTAGGGTATTCTTCCACAAGATCTTTACCAACCATAAAGTTCAAATAATCAAGAATGGCCACAAAATAAACATCAGCCCATGTCAACTGAAACAAAAATCAAATCATGATAGGGATATATATTATAAGACCATCTAGGCTACACATTTACTTTTTTATCCTTTAATTTACACATGACTACAGTCATTATTGTATGTAGAAAGTATAGAAAACCTACTTTTCCATTCACGAAATAGCCACTATTCTTCTTTGCCAGTTCTTCAAACTTTGGCATGTAGTAAGGAATAGTTTCTTTGAAGAGTGGTTCTTTCTTTTTCTCCTTTGAATCGGGATCACTGTCATAGTGATAATTTGCAATTTCTGAAACATAATGGTACTCACGTGAATTTACAAAATAAGAGTATGAATTCCCTTCTTATAAAGAATTCAATATACATGCACCTGAACTATCTCTCAATGAATCCTAATTAATAAGGAACAGAATGATATGCATTTTTATTATTTATTCTGCAGAAGACTAATTTGAAAGCAACAGCTATCAGCTATTCAGCTTAAAAGAAAATATCATCATAAATTTAAAAAATATATTTTTAGGCTCCTCAGTCAATAATTGTTAAGTGAAAGAAAAGTTTCACAGAAGTAAAATACTTACTTGTACGAAAGTCTGTGAATGTATCAATTACAGCATCAATTTGTAGTGCTTCCCAGTCATCAGCTCCAGCAAGACCAACTTGTTTAGCAAGATAGCGGCAAATTGCTGCCGACTGATGAATTGTTTTACCATCAACTTCCAACACTGGAGTCTGGCCAAAAGGCATTTCTACGACAATTTTTAATAATATATAAATATTAATATAAAAATAAAAATTAATAACACAACTGCAAAAGGATCTTACTTGGCTTTAAGTCTGGCCAATTTTCTCGATCAAACCTATAATCTTCAAATTCAATGCCTCCATATGAAAATAAAAATCGAATAGGCTCTCCTAATGCCATAACAGGAAAGTAGGTTAACTTGTATTTTGGAGCCATTTTAAGCAGATCTGTAACAATACCCAATTACAAACATTGTAATAAGATATAGAATATTACAAAAATTATAACTCTCTCAACATATGTTTTCCCAACGAAAATGTCTCGCATTAATAATTCCCTTAAAAAAAATTTTTTAAAAATAGTGTTTTTACTCATGCCGTAATTTAAAAAATATTCAATTTTACTCTTAGCTCTGACCAGATTCGTTAACTCATTTTTAATTGGCTTATCCATTTCAACATAACAAAACTGACTATTCCATTTCAAAAACTTACCATTCAATCTAGATATTAGTTTGCAAACAGGCCAGATCCACGGGAAGAGAAATCCCTTTCCCCCCATAAAATTTTTCAGTAACACTTAATTTTAAGTTGTCACAAGACTTTTAAGGAGAACTATTTTCAGATTATCATTAAAATGAATAAAATCGTATCGCAGCATGAGTTGAGTGTAGCCTCCGACATTTAACAAAATCTGTAATATGAGATATTCGACAAAAACATTTTGAATTTCCCCTACAAAAATTCTCTGGATTCGCCTTTGTTACAAGTCTAATGTAAAGAACTTCAGACTCATCTAGCCCGAAATCAAAAGAGAAATTTGTTTTATTGCCAATTTCCTCACAACATTGAATATAGTATAGTAATTCATTTATGACTGTTTCTGTAGCATCATTAGGTTTAAACAGCTCATGTCAGTTACCCGTGACACTTTCTGCTTAAATTTCATTTCCTAGTTCACACACCAGACACAATTTCATGCTGCTTGGCTGTGGGGTCATTCAGACCCTTTGCAACAACAGAGTATTTGCAAGGAAGGCATAAAAATATTCACATCCACGACAGGAATTGTACTAGTAAACATTCAGACAGGCACATAGCCAGAATGCTCCAAATGCCTCTACCATCCAGACCAGCTGTTGCTGTTGTTAGTGCCATTGTCGTTTTATCTTTAATTAAATATATTATCTTATTCAGGAACATGCCAATTTCTAAAACTATAGTTTTGCGTTTTGTTTCATTTTTATGTAAATTGTTATAAATTTGTAATTTCTAACATAAGATTGTTTAGAATATTACAATCCTACTCCCTTCCCCTCACCAAATTTTGAAATTGTTCAAATAGTTTTAAATTGGATTTGGATCTTCATCATTTTGCATTTTAGAATACAAAATAACTAGAGATAAATGGTTGCCCCTTCCCCCCTCTCCTAGTGGATATATCACTGTTCTCAACCTCCTTTGAATGTTCCTTATTTGGAGACTTAAATATTAATCCTATCTCCACTATTTACAAATTATAGATTATAAGAAAAATAAATATACAACAACTAATTTTGAATGAAAGTTACAAGTTTTTGTTGATATTTCTGCTCTTTGGAAACATTAAGCTTTGATGTTGACAGGTCATTCAAAAATAAGTTAGAAGATCCTAAAATGCTAACAGCTACTTTCACTATTCTCATATTACAAATATCAGCAACACAGAAGGCCTTTTGGTGCAGGTACGTCCTATCATTCTGTGTATAAGTAAGCAGGTTTTGATTAGCACAAACCTCCTTGGAAAGTGCCATTGTGCAGATTTTGAGGGAAATTGTGTCCATTTACGCAGCACACTTTTAAATTTGGTAGAATGATCACTTTGTTCTATATCAGAAAATGGTTGTGAATGGACACAAAAAAATGTTATAACGGTTGTGGACAGACAACAAAATTGTACAATGTATTTGACAATGTTCAAAGAAAAGATTGTGCAAGACATTTCAAGACTTAGCAGCTAGAAGAGACTTAGCAACTAGAAAAGATTTGCTCATATCAAAAATGTTAACTCTGATAAGTTCTTTGCTTCTATGATGAAGAACACTAACTTTGTTATGGGCAATTTGACCACTTAAAAATTGGATAGGTCACCACACACATATACTGAATTTAGCACTTGCTTGGAAGAGGCTGGGTTAGTTGAGCATCGATTGTGCTTTGTGATGTTACGTAATGACTACGTGTAAGAGTAATGACTGAAACCGGGTGCTAGAGAACAGAACTAAATGTATGTAACTTTTTGAGACTTCAAATTAAATAAAGACATGCGCTGGGGTGAACACGTTTTAGCAGTCTCTGATCAGAGTCGCGTGTTCGAATCCCGCCTCGGATATAATTCCCCCACCCTTTCTTTTTTTAAACCGCTGTGAATTACCTCAAAATAATAATTCCTTCCCTCCCTCCCCTTGCTCAAGCGGATACGCGACAGGGCAAAGTATGACAGCCAATGGGCAGGCGGGGAAGAAACGACAATGGATCTAGGAATTACAACGTGCGCACCATCTGCCCTGTCCGCCTCCGTACCTTACTATGAACGTCCCAAGCGTCGCCATGGGCTTCGGCGAAAAGTTAGCGCTGGCTGCTAGGGGCCATGGGCCTCTGCGGCGTGACGGCCGGAATGAGTGCCCCTTGGAGAAAACAGCGGAAGGGCTAGAGCATGTAAGTCTTAATTTAAAAACGCCCACAATGATTACTGACCGCTGTAAGTACATTAAAAACTTTGCCGAGAGTGACTTAAATTGTAGGTCTGCACCATTCCCTAAAATAGAGACGGTTGACGACACATGGGCGTTGCAAAATGTCATCGACGTTCGTTGATTGGCAGGAAGTGGCGGCTCGTGCTTAGGTTGCACGGTTACAAAACCCCCCGTTAATAGAAAAAAATCTTATAATAATTATAAAAGGTCAGGTATATACATTTTCCTTTTAATGACCATCAATTCTCCTGATATTGCGGCAAAATTGATGAATTTGAAATCAAAGAGCGCTCTCTTCGGCGTCTCGTGCTTCCCCAGTCAATGCTTCATGTCACGCTCTTAAGCTCTTTTACGGCGTTTTTATGCTTCAACATATGGACCAGCTTAAGTGGCTGAGGGCATCAGTTGATGTCCTCGCAGTGCCTCTGACCCGGCGTTCCTAGGGTTCGAGTTCCTGCGGTGGCAGGACTTTCGACACTACTAGCTCAAGTTCCACTGTTCTCTGGACGAGAATTCTAGCGGCTGGGTGCTCTGATCGATCATTTTCCATGATCTCTCTCATCAACACCACGCGAATGCTGAATGGGTTACGTACCGCACGCAGCATTTCCTTTCTCTTCCCTGACCTAGCCTCACCCTTACTACTTTACACACATTACACTACCTCCCACGATGGTAGCTCAAATCTTATCCCTGCTAGGGCGGTGCTCCGCTGGTGGGATATCCCCAGTGTGGAGGCTCGTGGTCATGCTATTAGGGTGTGCAAGGCCTCTCTTCTCTCTCCCTCTCTGTTTCACATACGTACATACACCTATGGAAAGACATTACATGCATGCATACATACATATTCATTAACATAAATAATGACGATTAAACACAAGGCATCTTAAGAAGTTCGACATTGCTGAACGGTATCTTTCAATAGCAGTGAGGGTTGCCCGCATTGCTTTTCACAATACTTGCTTCGACTCGGCAAGGACCTCTCCGAAATATTTATTACTAGAGTCTATACTAAGGCATAACTACTTAGCACGTTCCCGAACAGTTTTTGTAGGGGTGTCAAGAGATCTATTGTCAAAACTTTTTTACTGCTGTAAAGTATTTTCACTACGTTTGCTGATTAATTTTAGACTAAAAGTACATATAACTGAATTCTCAAAACAATCTAGATAATTTGCGGTCTGCACTGTGTGACGAAACACGAAGTCAATTCAACGATGTTTCTTTGCAGCAAATTTTTCTTCACGCTTGACAGGAAAACGAACACTTCAACTTCGGTTTTTCAAAAGCGCATTAAAAAAGTAGTCAACTACATATGTTTACCAAATGCATTTGCGTTTTCATTACTTCGAAATGGATTTGAAATTGCAATTCACTTCACAATATAAGAGAATGTGCATATATTAAATTAACACAATTCTTACGAATGCTACACTGCGCAGCAATGCATTCGGATTTCGCGCGCCGGTGAAAAACTTTTTCATTGGAAGGGATGGGAGCTCTTTTCAGTGGAGAGACATCTCACGCCTTCGTTCATTGTCACACGTACTTCTCCCACAAACGTATGCTAGCTGACTTATATACTCGAGGCATGTCAAGGCATTCGCTGACATCGCCACTGCGCACACCACGCAGGCGCAGTGGCGACAGCACACACAGCCAAATGCTCCTTCTGCCCACACAACCACTAAACCCTCTTCCCCCTCCAGCCCGACGCGCTCTACTCGTTCGCAGTTCCAGAGTGTGCGCCGGCTGGCTTTCACGGAGGGCACTGGCGGCGCGGTCAATCGCAGCTTCCGAACGGCGCGTGTTTTGAAATTTCACGTTTCGGAAACTGACAGGGCTTGTATTCCCCTCTTCTATAGAGATGTTTAAGACAAAATACACCGAATTAATTTGGGTGTGCACATGCGAAGAGGTAGGAGATATACCCGATTGGGTCAGTCAATCCCGTCCGTCACTACCAGCGCCTAAACCATACGTAGAAGAAACCCGTGTCGATCTAGCTCAGTCGATTTTTGAGTTTAAAAAAGTCTTTAAAATTAGGTGATATGAAGCTCTCAGGACAGTTTCAAAATTTTCTCCAAATCTGCTTCATTTTTCTCTTTAATTTCTGAGTAAAATACACTTATAAAAGTAGCAAAGATTCAATTTAGTTTTAATGAAATTTTCTAAAATTAAATTTTTCTTGATAGTCTTCATACAACTACAAAAACGAAGAAAGATTTTTCCTTTAAATAAAATTTGTTACACATAGTGAGTTCTTTCATTAAGGTCATCTATATTTTTTTCAATTTTTGTAGTTTTCGAGCAATATGTGAAATTTAAAAAAAAAAATTACAAAAACGACATTTTCTCAAAAACGGCTTCTTTTTTTTTTTTCGTTTAACTTATAGTAAGGATAGTGCTAAATGTACGCCATAAGATGACAGACGCCATATTGTTCTATCTCGTTTTTTCAAAAACTACAAAAATGTAATTGTTTTGACATTTATATTGGCAACAATTTGTTCATATTATATTTATGAGTGCATGTGCTTTATATAATGGCAAATAAAGTATCTCAAAAACTCAACAGTTTCCTGTAAAAACTAGCTCAAAACTCCGCATTTTCAGAAACGCTCAAACCCCATTTTCTAAAAAACGGCTCCAAATTTTTTTCTTCAAACATTTCGAACGGATAGTGCTAATTGCACTCTTTAATATAGCGTAAAGTTCATTTATGAGAATTTATTTGTTTTTTCAAAAATTTCTGTAGCATTTCTGAATATAATACTTTTGTCTTTAATTCCAGGGAAATGCGTAAATATGGCCCTTTTCCTGCTCCAAGCTTTTTGAATTCCTGTGCAAATACTGTAAGAATTCCGATCGTCTCTCCTCCGATTTTATTCTATGCAAGTGCACAATCATAACATTCCTGAATTAACTATGATGAGCATCGGAATAACTGAGTATTTTATTTAGCAAATGACTGGCCGGGATTAACACTTAATACCTTTCATAATAAAGGCATCGACATACAAACTAAGGGTCGATTAATAGTCCTTAAGAGTGTTAAAGCAATAAAGAGTCAAAATGAGAAGTCACTTAAGGAAGCTTCTATTTAATAGAAGTCTCTTATGGCAACTGAGATAAGTGTTCCTCAAGGTATCGGAAATGTTGCAAGTTGCGTTTCTGTCAAAATTCTAGATATTATGTACCAACGTTTTTGAAATTTCAGAAATTATTCGGCACAGTGTAGCTTGATTAACTTTATAGAGATCTGCCCAATCTAAAAAAAGAAGAAATTTAATTGATATACATTTATCACATCTACAATAAAATTATCACGAATATATAAAGAAATTTCATTTCTTTCAAAAGATTGCGCAAAATATTTTATATCTTTTGCAGTTTTATAGAACGATCCTAAAAGGATGGAGTGGTGAATACTTAAGGTTACAGGGGACCTACCTTTTTAAAAATACTCGAATGACTGGTTGCTCATTTGAAAATAAGGACTCTATGGATCGGAATAGCTTACTTAAGGAACACTAATAAGAAACTACTATGAATTCGGCCCTAGGCCCTTTAATTAGCTGCTTAGCTGTACTGGAGACGCTGCATACTAGGCACAGATTTCAACGTTTCCGCCGCCACTACGACCTTCATCAGGGCAAATGGCCGATTTTTTCACTCCAGTCGCATTCTGTTTCTTCCTGACAATACTTTCATCATAAATTGCATTATCTTTCCTTCAAATCTATCTCATGTTTTTCTTTAACAGTTTGTATTCATGTTTCAACTGGTCCGATGTAAGTGGTTGGAGGGGGTCAATTCTTTCTATTGTCCGATTGAAATATAGTGACTTCTGGCACAAACAGCTATGTGTAGTTATCCAATCGGGAGCTTCGTTACGACTTACATTGTACGTATTGAAGCTCCAGATTGGATAACCACGTCACAGTTTACAACCTGCCTGAAGACAATATTTAACGCTGACAATAAAGTTTATAACCACACCTTTTTATTATTTTTTTGACATTTCTATGGGATTTTGTCCAAATAAACTATTTCCTAGTTTGTAAGAAACAACATACGACTAATCTTCAGTTTTGTGCGTAATTTTTACTTATTTCGTATACTTTATTATTTTACAATATTATATCAATGTCTTTACACATTTTAAATATAATCAGGCATTTTTTACATTCATTAAACAATCCTTTCACAAATACCATATAACTGAACATTAAATAATATTCTTCAATAAGTTATCATTTTTCTTAATAAATATCATTAACGTACATAGAGATACAATATCTCTACTCTATGCTAACATATCGAAATTATTGGTTTTGTTATTGAATAAACCATTGTTCCTTTGTTAACGCACCCAATGCACCACACGGGTCATTATTTGTCACTAAGGAACGTGAGAAAGAATAATGGCAACGCCGTGGGAAATTGTGGGTGATGCGATTGATTTCAACAGCGTCCAAATTATTTGTTTGAGTAATAATTCAATCTCTTGCTCACTCTGATAAAGTCCTACATTAAGTTAATAAATTAAAAGCTTAAAATTACACGCTACTGAAACTGCAAGGATGACCTTCACCCAACGTAACTACACTTAACTGTTAAACTACGGGGCGTACCTTATAAAATCAAGAATTACAGACAGAATATACATATATCACAGTTTGCTGTCACATTTACATCACAAAATGCCAATGTCAGATCCACGTCAGCGAGTTTCAAATGTTATGCGAGCTAGTTTCAAATGTTATGCCCTTTGGTACGATTGTCTTTTCGCTACTTTGGAAATAACTGTATCATCAAATTATCAATTAATAATGATCACACCCAACTGATCAAGGCAACCTAACTATAAACCTTGCTTCCATTAAACAGTAATAATAGTCAACAATTTTCCAATTGCCGGTTGACCTTGCGTTTGACTGCCGATTTCCTGAATAGAATTTAACTTGATTGTAGAAAATGTCCTATAACAATATAAGTACTCACATTGGTATTCACAATTTCGTATTGGGTGATTCGCCCACAAAGCAAAATCAGCTCAGCAATGCTACTTCCTCGAAATACAACACCAACCAACAACGCCCGACCGGCTTTTGCGAGCTGTTCCTGTCGTTGTCTTCAGGAGTCCGTCCTCACGTCCCTTCACTCTTGCTCCTCTCTCATGGCCACTATAGCCACCTTCGAGAAACAAGAAAATCATTGGTGACACAATAAGATAACGAAATTAAATAATGCATTATTATATTATATAAAATTATTATAAATTCGTATTTATTATAAATATTGGAATCTAACATTAGAAGGTTGAATGAAATAAAATCTTTCAGTTTGTTCGTAGGATTTCAAACGCAAGCCTTACATAAAACACTATCGCACTGCAAGTTGGTAGCGTGTACGCGACAGCGGAGACATCTTGCGATTTGACGTGGCAGCAGCGAAATACGTATTTATGCCGATGTTGACAAGATCGGTGCCATCAATGGAGGAGTCGTGTTGGAAATTATTTATGTAGTTTATATTTATTTTTATTTCTTTAAATCTCCAATTATTGTTGTTATAATGTTGTTTTGGAGTTTCCTTCTGTCTGTTGGGTTCATCCTGGGAGCCAGTGCTGACGAACATAATCACATTGTAAGTGTTACCCTGCGACACGAATAAACGAAGGGCGTTTTCTTAATTATTTTCTTGCCGAATTATGTCAGTACATTAAAATTGTATTTTCGAGGCAGATAATATATCCATTGAAATTATCTTACGTAAAAAAATGATGTTAAACCTTATTATCTCTCTTTGCTGTTCTTTTATCTAGAATTGATGGATACCCTAGATGTGAAATGATTTGAAGTTGTTGGGTGACAGTAATCGTTAGTGTTTTTGACATTTCAGAATCATTGTTTATGAGATATTGTAATGAATGTGTAACCTAATATTAGATTGTGATTTTACTTGCTAAAGTGCTCAGTTGTAATTTGTAAATTAATAGTGTAGGTAATCTTAAATCACTGAATTATTAAGAAATCTATAATTAGAACTTCTAGGTGTATTTTTTGCATATTTGTTCATATTTGTATTCATATTTCCATACTTCTTCAGTATAATGACAGGGATGAAGTTGTATTATGGATGAACACAGTTGGACCTTATCATAATCGACAAGAGACATATGCATATTTTTCCTTGCCCTTTTGTACTGGAAGAAAAGAGACAATTAACCATTATCATGAGACACTCAGTGAAGCATTGCAGGGTGTGGAACTTGAATTTAGTGGTTTGGATATTGAGTTCAAAGGTAAGGCTAAAAACCTGTCAAATATTTTATTATTTAAACTTGTGTGTTGCAGTCTCCCTGCATTAACTATTACCAGGATTGGTCTCCTTTGATAATGTTTTATTTAAATTTATTTAATATAAAGGGAAAAAATTGACTAGTGAATTTTGTTTTAGCTGATATTTCAAGCACACCATATTGTGAAATTCAGCTCAATGAAGAAAGACAAAAGGCTTTTGTGTATGCTGTCAAAAATCATTATTGGTATCAGATGTATCTAGATGATTTGCCTGTTTGGGGTGAGTTATATTGTAAATCAAACTCTATGAATTGTTGTGGACAGTAGTCTTTAAAGTACTCTTTTCAGGTATTGTTGGAGAGGTGGATGAAAATGAGGGAACACCAAGTTATTATATTTGGACCCACAAAAAGTTTGACATTGGGTATAATGGAAAACAGATTGTAGATGTTAATCTTACGTCAGAAAATAAAGTGAAATTGACTTTAGATGTAAAAATTCCATTCACTTATGAAGTTAATTGGAAGAAATCTAATGTAAAATTTGAAGATAGGTTTGATAAATATTTGGATCCTAACTTCTTCCAGCATCGGGTAAGAATGACATCTGGGACATCTTGCTAAAATCATGAAAAAAGAAAGATTCATGCTAACCTTTTTGTGTTCTGAAATGCTATTTTAATCTTTGTGCAGATTCATTGGTTTAGCATATTTAACAGCTTTATGATGGTCATTTTTCTGGTTGGTTTGGTGTCCATGATTTTAATGAGAACTTTGCGGAAAGACTACGCACGTTACAGTAAAGATGAGGAACTGGATGATATGGTTAGTATTCATTTCTTCTCTTCTTTTGCTTTCAAGATAATTATATTTGCATATTTAGGTTTGTTTATATTTTTATAACAAACCAACTAAGAATCTGTAACTTAATATTAGCTGAGCATATTTGATTTCCTTATCTGGTGTTTCATAAAGTTTATGAGGAATGTTTTTTTGTGGACTTTAAGGAGAGAGATCTAGGTGATGAGTATGGTTGGAAACAAGTTCATGGAGATGTATTCCGCCCAGCATCTCATGCAATGTTATTTTCTGCTTTGGTTGGAGCTGGTTATCAGGTGACAGTTGTAGTGCTAAGTGTTATTATTTTTGCCATTCTGGGGGAGTTATACACAGAGTAAGTATTTTGTTTTTTATGTTATTTGTATATAAAATGTTGTATTATTGCTGTTCCAGACTTTTCACATTCATAATCATTGATAAATTACATGAGAATCATAATTTTTCAGACGAGGATCTTTGCTGAGTACTGCTATATTTGTTTACGCTGCTACATCTCCTGTAAATGGGTATTTTGGAGGAAGCCTTTATGCCAGAATGGGAGGGAAAATTTGGATTCGACAGATGCTACTATCAGCATTTATGCTTCCAGCTCTAGTGTGTGGAACTGCATTTTTCATCAACTTCATTTCCATCTACTATCATGCTTCTCGAGCCATCCCTTTTGGCACCATGGTACGAGTGCTTAACAGTGATGAGTTTTATTGCTTACTAATGTACAATACGTAAGAACTAACTACTTTTTAGAAGGGCATTTTACAAGAAAGTTAACACAAGTACCTTTAATTCAGGGAAACTTGCTGTAGTGGTTACCTCGATTAAGCTGCCTTCTCCATTAACACCCATTTTTTTTTTCTAGAAATCAGTTAATTTTCCCATAGAGCAAGTGTATATGATCCCTCTTTAAGTGGTCACTGAACTCTAATCTGCCTGGTACATTTGTATTAATCTGTATTAGATTGTCACATTTGCATGCCAGATTTGCACTATTCATTCTCAACTTTATAAAAAGAAGACCAATGGATTCTGTTTATTCAGTTATTTCTGCATCTACAATGTCAGTTGCAATGAACTGTGATATCTAGAATCACCTAATTTGTGAGTAATTAGTTTGATCCAAGTAACAGTGCTCATAAATGCTCTGAAATTTTCTCAGTGTGTGAACTGCAGTTTTGAATGCAAGTCTAGATTAGAATTAAGTCACTAATAATGCAATGTACGTGATATCTCCTCAATTTCTCATAACCTGCATTACACAGCCGTCTGTACTTACTGGCATTTTTCTTGGAAACTATGAACAGATTTCCCAATATATTAAAAATTTACCATGTTCTGCTGAGATTTACATTTTATATTTAAAATAAAATGTAATTATCTGTTGAATACAGTCGGTTTTTAAAATAATGCATTAGTGCAACTGATGTAAATCATTACAAATATGCATTTGGTAATTGTTCTTATCCTTCATTTTTTTAATGTTACTCGTTACTTTCTCTTATATGTACGTATATATGGAGTAATGTACATAGGGTAGAGAGAGTTATGTTATGCAGGGGAAAATACATTTCAAAATTTCAACAGGAATATAAGTTTGAGGTCCCCTGAATTTGTAAAAGTGTTTTTTTCTTTTCTTTTTCAAAACATCCATCTGACTAGTCTGTGAACAACACTAGCACCTACACTATTGCATAGGTTTTTTTTCCAATCTGATAAACCTGGCAACCTGGCCTCGCTCAAAGCTCTGGGATTTTGAAAACTTATATTAATTTTTGAGGTACTTTGAAATGTCCCAGGGGGTCATGTAAAGTTTTCTCAAAAATAGCTCTAAATTTTTTCTTTAAATTTCATATAAGAATAGAGTGAAATACTTATAAATGTGGCATGGGCCCAATTTTTACAAATTGCAACAGATTCAATGTCTTCCTACTACTAGAGTCGAAGATAGAGATTTCTTCTTTAAATGAAATTGGTTCTCTTTAATTAGTATTTTCATTAAGGTCATGTACATTTCTTTTTAATAATGTTAGTAGTTTTCACGCAGTATTGAATGAAATGTGTGATATAAACAGCTCCAAATTTTTTCTCTAACTTTTGGTAGGGATAGTATTCAATGAACCATGTAAGAGGACACAAACACCAATTTGCTATATTTTTTTGTTTTTTCAAAAATTACAAATGTGTAGTTTCTTGAAAACCCGAAAATTTTCTGAGAAATGATCTCAGAAATTCAACATTTTCAGAAACTTGAACACCATTTTCTCTAAAACAGTTGCAAATTTTTCTTGAACATTTCTGTGCTTATAGTGCTAAATGTACTGTTTAAAATGACAACACATTTTAATAAATCCTTTTTTTTTCCCCCTAAATTAGGCATTTCTAATTTTTTTTAAATATCTCACACCATTAATGTACACATTTCCAGCAATTTGCAAAGATTGCATTTGTGAGTGGTAGTGCTTGAAGTGACTTCCAATGAAGTTTTTCAAAAACACAAGTTTTCTGTGAAAAAGAGATACAGATTTCGCATTTACATTAAAGCTAAAACGATATTTTCTTAAAAATTGCTTCAAAATTTTCAATGAAAATTTTTATTTAGATGAGGTAATACTCTTCTATAATATACTTAGTCAAATTTTGGTTCTCCAATTCAGAAATTTTCAAGAAAATGCTGTTTGGGCAGCAATAGATGGCATCTGGCAAGATCAAAAAACCATCCCAGACCAAAGCAATTAGAAAACTAGTATGAGAAAATCTGTGCAATTCTGTTGTGCCACATTCTGTTGTGCAATTACTTGTTGGTATTGTAAGTTTTTCTTAATTAGAGTTAATGAAGGCAATGTCATAAGAATAATTCAGATGAAGTAAATTCTGTGAATTTCATAAGGTTCTATTCTCAGACAAGAGAAAGAAGTTATTCAGGAAGGAAAAAGAAGAAAAAACAAGGCGCCATTTTTAATTTATTGAATAATTCAGTATTCACCGAAAAGCACATTTAGTCTTGACTTTTATTCAACATTCCACAAGTAAAGCACGTTGATCCATGATGCTCTGTGGGTTTGTTTTCCTTAAATCAGATGAACTTTTTAGTTTGTATGGTTAAAAGTACCATTTTTAAGATTGTCCATGAGTCAATTGTTTTTAGGTCTTATATCCCTTTGACATTTTAATGCAAAAAAAATTAATACCCTTAATTTGTTTTATAATTATTTGCATTGTTATGGAAATTTTGATTTCATCCTTCACATATTGTGATAAATGGTTTCTGTTTTGTAGTGCCAGTATTTGAAACTGAGAAATTAGAAAAGTATTTCACAAATTTATATAACAGTCTGTTTAAATATGTTTAAGGATTGTATCAAGTTAGCTTTTATTTCAAATGAAATAATTAATAAACCAATTTTTTTTTCTTTGTAGGTGGCAGTCACTTGCATTTGCATATTTGTGATTTTGCCCCTGACCTTGGTTGGAACAGTATTGGGCCGAAATCTGGCTGGTCAACCAGATTTTCCATGCCGCATTAATGCAGTCCCAAGACCCATTCCTGAGAAAAAATGGTTCATGGAGCCTGCAGTTATTGTAGTTTTGGGTGGAGTGCTGCCTTTTGGTTCTATTTTCATAGAAATGTACTTCATCTTTACATCTTTTTGGGCCTATAAGATCTATTATGTATATGGCTTCATGCTGCTAGTTTTCATTATTCTAATGATTGTGACGGTATGTGTCACAATTGTGTGCACTTACTTCCTTCTTAATGCTGAGGATTATCGGTGGTAAGTTTTTATGCCAGTGTTTGAAATTTTAAGATATACCATGACTTGTAATTAAAATACTGTTATGATTAAAAACCATGACAATAATTTGCAGGCAATGGACAAGCTTCCTTGCTGCAGCTTCTACATCAGGCTATGTGTATATGTATTCATTCTATTATTTCTTCTTCAAAACCAAGTGAGTATTTTTTTATTGTCTTTTGTCAAAACTATCCTTTTGATGATTGATGGACTTACATCTTACTTTCTTTTTTCAGAATGTATGGCTTGTTCCAGACTGCTTTCTACTTTGGTTACATGGCTTTGTTCAGTCTTGCTCTTGGTATCATGTGTGGTACAGTGGGTTACGTGGGCACTAGTGTGTTTGTGAGGAAAATCTATTCAACTGTCAAAATAGACTAGATTTTGCTATAAAAAAAATACACATTGTGTGGCCTTCTTGGCTGGATAGGCTGGTGCTTTCTGCTCCGGGACTGTGTCCTTTATCAGTCTACTCTGAAGTTTAGATGGACTGTCCTTACACAGTGTGAAAGTTGAATATAAACTGTGTAAAGGGATTAGTTTAAATTATTGTTTTTTTTTAATTGTTTTTTTTTCAACAGTGGCAATGTGAGATCTTGAGAAGTACTGCTAGATTACAAGTATGACTTGTGAGAAGATGTGTCAAACAATTTTTCAGTACTAGTTGCTGTGTATTTGAATATTCAATAAAGCTTGTTTCTTTTATGTGAAACAGCATTGTTCACATCCTGTAGTGTCTTACTTTAGGTTGCTGTAGGATGATGCATCTAGTGTTTTCTTTTCTCCATGCTGTAAGTCTTGTAATTAATCAAATGATTTTTAGTTGTTTTTAATGTATACCTTACAAAGAGCACTGATCAAACAAAACTGTATAACTATAAAACCAAGAATAGTTTTTATATATAGTGGTGTACTTGATTCCAAACATGGTATCATTCCTGTACGTTTTAAAACATAGGGATAGATCAGATCCAATGATCTTCCTTTGTATTTGTGGACATCTGAACAGTGACAAAATGTTTGCAGGAATATGGGAAGGATGTTATCCGAGTGAGTACTTAAGCAGAAGCAGAATTGATGCAGCATGATGTTTGTAGAAGAAAGCGATTGACTTCTGATGAGTTCTGTAAAAGTGGTGGCCATAAATAGGCAATTCAAAGGCCTCAATCAGAAACTGAATATTGTGCAGCTCAAACATACAGTAATGCACAACCAAACCTCTTTACTTGTAATTGTAAGATGTTTCTTAGACATAAGGCTCATTAACCTCCTTTCTCTGTAAGAACTATATAACGTATTTCATGTGGGAGGATAATGTATTTTGTGTAATATATTGGTTGTGTCCAGCTGTGGTATAACATCTTCACATTCTTTCATTATCTATTATAATTGTTCCTAGTTTCTGTTTTGGTGTCCTGTATGTATGCCACAATGTATTTAATTTGAAAACCTGTTTCTATTTGTTTAGTAATTGCAGAGTGATTTTAAATCAAATTTGAGCATTTTGTACATACACCGATTCCATTGCATAGTGCTAGACAATTTTTGGATTCAGTTATTAAAGATATAGAACAGTATGCATGTCATGAGCTGAACAAAACCATGGATTTTATTGCAAAGTGATTACAGCATTTGGTGTGGAGACTGAACATTCAAATTTTGAGTGTAAATGTGTGTAAGAGAGAATCTGTCGTGTTGTTTATGTATGCATGGACTGAAGGTTTGTTCTAGCCTTCAGGATCTAGAGCCAAGTGCATCTTGTGATTATCAACTGTTGTACACCTTATGTACACTTGTACTGTGGGTTGATTTGCAATACATGTAGACTTTAACCTGACAGTGTTTGTTTCAATTTGTAAACCTGGCAAACTTACTTTTCCCAAAATCTGAAATCCCTTTCGTTAATTTTTTCAAGTTAAGAGAACTAAATTTCTGCTAGTTCCAATCTTTAGAAACAGGCAAGGTCACTGACTATATTCAAGTAAATTGAGATCATTAATATGTAAGGGGAAATTTACATTTGTTCAATGTGTAGGACAGAAATCTGAACTGCAATTTTTTTTGTTTGCTTTTTAAGCTTTAGGTAAATTATAGATTTTAAAATTAGACATGGGATAACGTCTTTACAGATATGTTAAATTTATTCATAATGAGAAGTTGACATTTAGATTCTTAGGTGCAAGTTGGTTCAAATAAGTATATTGATGTTTGTTGAACATCAAGCTATGGAGCAAAATAGTTTTGTTTACATATGAAAATGTGCTGCACGATATTTGCTAATGATTTCTTTATTTTATCTCGAGAATAAATTGAGTGATAGTTTATACATTATGCAGGGTTGTAATTAGTTATTCATCTTGCTAAACTCATAGTTTACTCTTACTTTGCAAAACTAAACACAAAGTTGCTACCCTTGTGGATATTCCTCATGGCAGGTGATCACTATGTGACAAATCTAGCCACATTTTTAATTTGTATTTTATTAAAATGGAGAATAAAGCAAAATCAAATATTTTTCAAGACAGAGATAACATTTTGAACTCAAGAAGTTACATGCTCAGTTGGTAAGTCCATGCACAGGGCGACCAGACTTTATCCAAAAGTACTTGGGGGAGGAGGTATGAGTGTTGAAGTGTGAAGAGACAAAAACAAACTTTATAGAAACAAGATGGAAATGTTGATAAAATTAGCAGATAAAATAACAAAAAAAATATATGATCCATTTGTGCAGTGTTTAATAATCATTAAAAAAAGCAAATTCAGAAAATGATTGATTAAAGTCCGAGCCTAAATTATTCAACAACTCACAACATGAATGTATTTTAACTTTCACATTTTTATCTAGCATTGACGTTTGAGATCTATCTTCCTGCCAATATTTGATAGTACTGAACAACCACCCATAAACAGAATTGGTTCCACATAAAGTTCTATTGCAAATATGAATTTTACAAATGGAATGATCTCATTCAAATCTTCCCAGTTTTCAGTCATCTTTCCTTGTTACATAATTCCCCATCTACCATTCAGTGCTTCTTTTAATTTGTCCCATTTCTGAAGACAGTAGTAGTGAGAACATACTTTTTTACATTTTGAATGGCTACACAATATTTGAAACAACTTGAACCTGCATAAGTGTTTCCATCCATCAATTTTTTTTTCCATGCTTAAGTTCGTACTCTGGTATGTAGGTTTAGCAGGTCAATTACGTTACTCTTATTCTAGCAGCCTCACAGGCAAACTTAACCTTCCTGACAATTTAAAACAAAAGTTAACACAAGCATTTACTATTTTCAATAATGCAGAGATTTTCGTTGCCAATATTTCAAAATGGCTGTAAAAAATTTCATAAAGGAAACAAATTTTTATGTCAATGTTGTTGTTACACGAAGATGCCAAAAAAATTTGAAGTTTTGCAATTTTGCACAATTTTTAACTTTTTCATATTTGTATGTACATGCAGAGTAATACACACAGTATAGAGAAAAGTATATAATGCTAAAGAAAATCAATTTAGAGAATTCAATAGAAATACATGTCTTGGGGTCCCCTAATACCAAAATAGTGGTTTCATTCAAAACTTCCATCTGTCTGAATAACACTAGAACCTAAATCACTTTGAGGTTTGCAAAAATCAATATTCCTTGCTCAATCTTAACTTGTTCAAAGCAATTCGATTTTGAAGAATTTGCAGGTTACTTCACATGAAGTCTGTGGAACATTTTCAAAATTGACTCCAAATTTTTGTTTTTCTTTGTTTCTTGTAGCAACACACAAAGATAACAGTTCTGATTTTTATTAATTCAGATTTCAAAAATGTGTGAAATGTTTTCGGTGTCTTTCTACAATTAGTATGGAAGATACACATTTTGTAATATGTTTGAAATATCTCTAATGTTGTTAATATTTACATTATGAGTGTTTTTATACATTACTGTGTTTGTGAGCAGAAGAGCTTCAATGATTTTTCAGATAGTTCTAAATTCACCAAATAGCATGCCATTTCAATTTTTCAAAAATTATACCAATTTTGAACAGTAAGGCAATACAAGTTTTTCTATTGAAAAATTGCCACTTTTGTTGCTGCATTACAAGACTTGTTCTTTATTACATAACTATAAAGTAGTTGGGAAAGTAAAAAATTGAGAGCGTGCAAAAACTATGAAAATTCATGCGCTTCAGAAGGAGAACTTAAAAAGCCTTCAATAAAATTTAAAGCTCTTAAAAACAGTATGTCTGGTCACCCTAAGCATGCATATATTTGTTGCTAACTCACCATTCTGTTCCTAACGTTACATCCCAAAAATAGCATCTTACATTAAGCATAGTTCCTAATGATTAACTTATGAAAGGAAGTATACAGGTACTAGTATCACTAAATAGGAATCAAAAAGTCTAATTAATTTTTCTCTATATATTCTGCAGAATTGCCATTAGTATTTACCTTGGTTACATTTAGTACATATCAGATTCAGAACAAGTTCTATTATCTTTTTTAAAAGACTCATTCAACAATATATTTAGTACACTATTATGTTTCATGGCAGAGAAATACATATCCAAAAATACATTTCCTCTAAGTAAGAAACATTAGACCACATTGTTTTCAATTAAGGTCATAATTAAAATGCAAGAGGTTGTAGTGACCACATTTTGTTAACAAGATTTTATCAGCCATAACTTGTAACATGAAAAACATTTAATAACAACACAAATATAAACACACATTTGAAATATAAACATTCTGTCAGAAGAATATACCTGAATCTAGTCTCATGGCAATAAAAAGGCAACGATGTTTGTCACTGACACAACAGGTTTTAGTTTATTTTTTCTTGCACAATTTAATAAAATGTAATATAAATCGACATTATAGATAATACATTTAGTGATATTTTAAAGGACATTTTTTTATTACACCACATTTAAGAAATTAATTTTATTGACAAAATATTGATCTGAAACCCTTTTTTTAAAGAAATGATCCGCAAATTCAAGAAATATTTTTTCCCCGTTATGGAGAGCCTTTGTTAATACTATTACAAGCTCTTTTTCTTATTTGTATGATGTTAGTAATAATATTAGCTGCACTAGTCCATTAAACATTCATGAAATATGTTAACCAATATTACTTTACCTTTACATTTCTCCTGCTAGACAAGGGACAAATATAATTATGCAGTTTTTCTTTTAGTAAGGAAATGTGTAGACTGCCTTTTATTGTGGTAAAACACAATTTAAATTTTTAGACAAAGAACATTCCTTTTGAAAAATTCAGTGTTTGGTTAGAGTTCTGGGCAGAGACCTTATTTGCTGTTCATGCCTCGCTTTGCTTATGTTGTACGGGAAAATACATAACATTCAAAACGTGTATTAAAACACGGCGTTTTGAATAAATTTTTTGTCAATCCATTGTTGAAGTGTTTTTTGTTTGTTTTTTTGAAAAGAAATACTATTTTTTATATAGGATATTATTTAAATACAGGAGCGTAACGAAATGAGTGCGGGCCCGCCCGCAAAACTTCTCCGGCCCCTTTTATAAAAGTGTACAGCAAACACAAGAAGTGTTAGTACCTTTAATAATAAAAATATCATTAAAAAAAAAATAATATTCTCCAGTTTATGATTACTAGATAAGTCAATGTTACTCACAGATTATATTGATTTAGAAACCGAGATATGTTATATGTTAAACGGTGAAGAATCGTTCTTCTGGAAGATGTTTTTAATCATTTATTGTATCAACTATCGCAAAGTATCAGAGAAAGAACTACTAATAAGTAACTAATATTTCTTACAATTACAAAATCTTCAGCCTAAAAATGGCCCCCCTTTTACCTGGGCCTGTCCGCGTAGGGGGTCTTACGGGCCCGTACATTACGCCATTGTCAACGACATTTTCTTATGTTTTTTATTTCAACACTGTTCAAGGAGAAACACATTTCATAATACATCAAATTGTTTGTATTGCCAAGCAACCAGTTTGGTGATAATTAGACATCGCCTATACGGCAATTCTTTCAGTAATTGTATAAAAAAAACAACTCAAAATCATCATATTGGATGTAGTTTTTCCATTAACAAAGTAATATTTAGACCTATTACCTACATTTTTATTCTCTTGTCTATATTGTATATTAAGATTCTCTGACATCGAGACCAACAAACTGTTATCAAATGGAACGATTTTTAATGATCATATTGCATTTTTAACAATTACTGAAATAATTAACGTAATTAAGCAATGAAGGTACTAGTTGGCCTACAAATAGCGCATCTGTTTTCTCGATTGCGCTCAATTTAAGTAATACACAATCTGCTCGATCGAAAAATTAATATTGGAAAGTTGCAATGATATTCATTGATAATTCTCATTTATGCTAACATTTCAATTTCCCTTTAATATTCAAAAAAGCAAATTCAAAATATTGTTTTAACTCAGGTCACTACAACAACGCTATGCGAGGCACAAAAATAGAGGATGAAAATACTTATCTTTTTAGAGCTTTGTTTTGGTTCGTATTTTAAAAATAATATTTTTAGTGTTTGGTATTTAATCATTTGATTTGTGAGATCAAATTTTTTAACTCATTTTATTATTTTGATTTAGTTAATATTTGGTGTTGATCCTATCACTTATTATAGTGTGTGAAGTTTGGTCAGAATAGGGTTCATATTTCTTAGCAAAAATAGGGACACCTCATTATTTCTATTGGAAGTATGTAAAATCACAAAAGACTGGAGTTGATCGGAAGTTGGCGGTGGCACAGTTCGTTTGTTTCCTTGTTGGCATTGTTATTTCATTGTTCATTGTTGGTGCTCGTTTTGGTATTAATAGGTAAGTGAATTTTTAAAAAAATAATGCTATAATACTATTTCCTTTAAAATAAATTCTCTTAAACGTGAGGAAAGTATATAAAACTGCGCGAGCGCCGGAACACGGTCGCGGAACACGGAGGCGGGAACCAGGTCGCGAGAGCGAAGGCCGTGAGGTCCTCGCGAACGCAGCCTCTGGCATCCGTCGCGGACCATTTTGTGTCAAAATACGTTGGCTATAAAATTAATTTCTAGCTTGAACAATTCGAACTGAAAAGCAGCTCCATTCCCGAACTGAACGTTCACGTTGTTGAAAACCGACTGAACGAATTTTTTCGTATCAAAAAAACCGTGCCACCGTCAACTTACGATTTACCGAGACTGGAGTCGAGTGCTAATATGATAGAGCTGGATGTTAAAAAAAATATGTCATATTCACCTCAAAAATAGCTTTAAGGACATGCAAAAATTGAAATTGAAACTGTCCAAACATTTCAAATACTATGAAGTATTCTTTCTTCGAAGATAAAATATAAAATTTATATCTAATTTTAAAGAACATTTAATTCTTTCACGAAGAGGATATTGCTGTAAATTCACAGTTTAATATAATTTTACCAAACTGGTTAAACTAAAGGTTGATATGGCAGAAGACAAAGTTTATTGAAAAGCATGGGCAACACATAGTACGTTTTTTCTTTTGAAAAATTTGAAATACTCATTTTCGTGGAGTTTGACTTTAAATAACCAAAGTGGGTAAATAATATCACACTATGGATTATGTTAATCCAAGATTTAAAGTACTGAAATGAATACCGTACTTAATCAACGACAAAATAATATCGTCATTTCAAATCTCCAAATGCACTCGCTGAATTGACACTTACGAGATATTATCATTTTCTCAGTGTACGTGAGTGTGTATACAGAATCTTAATTTTATCTTGTTACCCATGTCTGGAAGCACCTGTTTTTGTGATTTGGCCACCGCGTACCTGCCGCCAGTCAAGACTTCGTGGCTATCACGACGCATCGGTCCGGCATAGAGGGAGGTGAGAGTCAGGACTTAAGCTGCAGCAACTTTTCTGTTTCTATGTTTTTCCCCATTGAAGACTTATGAAGGTCAGGCACGCGACTGACTTGTGGATTCCTTCCTGCTGATGGACAAGGCCTGCGGGCAACCTAAACGCTGCTTCTCTAATTCTGCCTAGTATTCTCTAGAAACAAAACTGATATATTGAAGTTGTGAGGGAAGTTTTGAGTGGTTTATTAATTTATTAAAAGCAACGTAGCGATATTATTTAATAAAAACCGGCTCAGAGAGAAATCAGTAAGGTATACCGTGAAACATCACCGTCAAACTCTTATTTATTTGGTATACATTATTGCCCTTGCAATATTTGTCCATGACCCGTTGGTTAGGGTTCTGCTGAGACATTCGCCTGGTATTGATAAAAGAAACCACGGAAAATTAACGATCACAGCATCCCGTGGCTTGAATTCTCTTCCAGACAGCGACTGTATCCTACCTATAATAGCTATCAAGCTAGTGCCTAATATCCGCAACCACAACCGTAATTATTTAAAATAATCAACAAAATAATAATAAAAATATTTTGGTTTCTTAAACTACGATGTTGGCGATTCTTTCTTGAACGCGAGTTGTACGAGGTTGACAAATTAGAAAGAATTGCTATCCAACGACAGGACAGTGCTATCTCCTTCTTCAAACTTTCCGCATTTCCCCTCCCGGAAACTAGGGGGCATGCGTTTACCGGAGGGTCACCAAAATTGAAAGGGTTGCCAAATGTATTTCACGCAGTTGCCAAACTGCCACAAGAGCAGGTGCTTCCAGACACGAGTTTATATATATATATATATATATATATATATATATATTATATAATATAGAGAGAGGAGAGAGAGAGAGAGAGAGAGAGAGTTGGAACAGAGAGAAAAAAAGTGCGAAGTGAAAGGAGGAGAGACAAACGAAGGACGGGGGGGGGAGAAAGAGGCGATGCTCAACCGTTTAGGACCTGTCAAAATAATCGTCCGCTGTCTGAACCGGAGTAGAGGTTAGTGTCCCTACGTGTCTCGTAAGAAAAATTAAAGTTTTAGATGTTATATTCTTTTCTTCCACGATGAGATGAAAATACACCAAATTTTAATCCTGAAAGACTTTCATTGCTGTTCGGTTCAACATCACTTATCAGAAGAACCTACTTCGAAAAACTGTGGTTGTCCTTATGAATGCTGTTCATCATGAATGTCGCCGTCTCCCCGTGATATTGACGAGAGTGGTGAAGCATTGAAAGCAGATGCATGGAGAAACTTCGATTCCATATTTATATTGACGGTGAAAATTTTTAGTTCGATAGATCACTTTTATAATGCATTCCGTTGTGTACGCCTGAGCAACACTGAATGCATGACGCCTTCGAGGAGACATTTCTGTGTCGTTTTCGCAATACATTCCGGTAACTAGTTTCGTTGAGAAGCGTCATATCCGTAGATAGAAGCAGTACCTTTCCGTATTCACGGATGTTCGCTGCTTCTAGATAGGAGCGGAATATCGCGGTGTTTGGCGACCCCTCCCCGCGTAAAAAATGTAATTGAATACGCTCGTACACAATTTTTACCAAATTTTCCTGGTGTGTGGCCCGAACTAAGTTTCTAGTTATTCGAAAATAACTACTACACCATATAGAAAATTTCATTCCGTTGGGATCACAATAGGTGGAAGCCCTAATACGCAATGTGGCTAACTAAACCTCAACACTCCGCAAAATTACAACTTTGTCCAGCGCAAAGTATTCTCGTATTTTCGGTAAAGTTTGTCTAAATGCACTTATTTAGACTATGTTGTCTTATTTCTGAGGAGATTGGTAAAACGGAGAGTTTGACATTTATCCTTGTGTCTCAGAATCTATTTCACCAGTCACAAATCTGAAACATATGACAGGGCAGTAGGCTTTTACGTTGAGTGCTTGCAACTATGTCTAAATAAAGATCATTTTGCTTAAATATGATCGCAGAAATAATTATCACATGAGAGCTTGACATTTCACGTTATTAGTATTTGGGACGTATTTGTAAACAATAAGATTGTGTTGAAAATTTAGTTTTAAAAATAAAGTGTTCCGAAAAGACACTACAGTCAGTAGGGGTTCAATGTTTCTAAAAAATTAATAATATCGAAGCAATGTCATTTTAACTGCTGGTACTTTGTGGAAAAAAATATTTGTAGGATTGAAGTGAAAAAGTAAAGAGAAAAACATGAAAAGAAAAAAAATAGAATCAATAATTTATCCCGACTTTTAAAGAAAATGAGCATTCCACGAAAGTTAACATTTGCATTTTATGGTTTAAAACTAGGAGTTCATTCGATTTGCAAAAACTATTGTAATGTGCATTTGAATGGCAAAGTACAAGGTATAAAATTAAAGATCACGTTTAGCGTTAATATAGAAATCAAAAGGGGACAAATTATATATGAATCTTTATTTGAATGAAATAGGTATGTCATTTTCAATAAGTGGACAAAATCTTGCAGCCATACATACTCATAAAAATTTTAAACTGTTTCCTCTAGTTATTGCTAATTAAAGTTAAATGTCTATTTTATTTTACTCATAATTCATTCTACCTTCTGCAACTTACGTATCTGTTGAGATACGTAAGTTGCAGAAGGTAAGTTGCGTAAGGCTTCATGGGCAATACGCAAGTTCAAAGAACTGAATATATCTCCTGTCATTGATCATTTAACACAAATAGCTAATCATTGTTACCGAACTTATCACCTCTCCCAGGGCAATTATTTTAAGTCTAGCACGAAGTGAGGTATGTTGGACTCAAGATATTGACATTGACTCGTATCAAAAAGACGTACTCAAACCATCGTGAAATCAAGAACTCCGTCCGTTACATTTAAATTGTAAGCTTGATAACAATCTTCAACTTCGTTTCAGTTAAAGAAATGAGTACTATTTAACGCAATTGATATTTATATTATAGGTGTAAATAATCATACTGCTTATACAAATGACCATTCCGACAAAAAAACCTTCGTGTAAGTATCTGTAATTAACCTCCTCGAAGGGCAAATTATTCGAACGAAAGAAACACATTTTTTTAAACATTTCATGAAACATTAGATCAATCCATGTTAGAAATTTGAGTGATAATTATCAATATAGTTATAACCAAACACTTAGCCATAGAACTAGATTCAATGAATTTCACATGCAAAGAGAAAATTCAACTCAACTTAGAGAGTTTGATGATTGTTTGCGCTCCTGCATTGTCATGTTTTCTGCTTTGGGAGAGTTTTCTTCTGTATTTCATTTATTGCCTTCAAAATTTGAGGTCGATTATTTAAAAAATGATATTATATATTCGAAACTGATTGATTATCAATATTTTTTCGCGTTCTCAGAGAAATGCGAAAATATGACAGGTGTACTGATGTTGTAATGTATCTTTAATAAATTGTATCAAAATAGTTGGAATTTCCACCCTCCTCCGTTTGTAAGAAAACAAGATATCAGTGTGAAAAATATCACAGGCCTAAAATTATTATTAGACGTTTAATTTTTTATATATATAATTTTACAAATTAATCCTTAATGTAGTTGTTACTTATATAATATTCGAAATCAATATTTTCATGTTAACTTTGTTTGAGTTTTTAAATTTACAAAATGTTTGGCAAATGCTGCTTTGGTGCATTTTTACGCTTGATCTAGGCCTGTTCTGTTTCTTTATTTTTTTAAAAAAAATTATGATTTGAAGTTTTAATAGTAAATTCACACTGATTTATGAAATGTGTGCATGTTAGAAATTCTACAAACATTAACCAATACTTGTACGTTTAACACTTGGTGAAGCAGACCTAGCAAACATCAAGCAACTGGCAACCTACGACATAAAACAGTGCTCAAAGGCTATACCATTTTACGGAGCACAACATTAATGAACTAACCAATTTTCTTGTGCAGCGACACGTTTTATTTGTCTTCTAATGTATAGTAATACCTAGTTCTCGCTCTTCGTTTCCCGAACATCGACTACTAAACATCTGAGCGGAAATTTATCAGATTGTATGTGCAACAATTTAGAGACATGGCAGTGAGTGCTTATCTCAGATGTTTGTCGTTTGTCATTTACCTTTCAATTGGACAGTACCGCAAGAAAAAATATATAATTAGAATTCCGTAACAGGTCGACGTTGCACCCAGGCTTGAATACGTGGCAACGAAAACACACGTTCCTTAAGAGCACGAAGAGATGGATATGCTTCCAGTGCTCTCGAGCCGAAAAGCAGCTCGAAGTTTTCCAGAGAAACAGCAAACATGAAGTCTGCCCAGGTCAACTAAGAAAAAGGAATATGAACTAAGTACAAAGGCGACCTCAATGTTTTAAAAATGTAATACTAGCTACACAAATTACATCTTTTCCAATAAAAATATAATTTCACTACTTTTTATTGATTCTATTGTCTTAAAATTTTAGAACAAGGTAAAGAAGTTTCAAATAAACACTTAGTACATTTTATAAGAATGAATTAGATGGCAACTGGATATTGCGTTGCAAAAACTATTGAAAACTGTGCTTGTATCGTAAATTGCGGAGAAATCTTCTCCCACTAACTATTAATAAATATAAATAAACATGTCAAATAAATATAATCATATAAAATAAATAAAAATCATACAAATCATATCGAATAAACTGTTACACAGAACATTATATAAGAGTGAATTGGATGGCAAATGGATACCGCGTTGTAAAAAATATTGGAAACTGACCTGTATCGTAAATTGCAGTGATACCTTCTTCCACTAACTTCCCGGTTTCTCCCTGCCTGAGTGGGCAGGTTAGATGGGTGCAAGAGCGCTCAACCGATGTCAGTAGCTGGGAGCGATCAGTACCTTCATGCTCGAAGAGCATAAACTGTCACCGATACGAAATGAGTGACTTGATTTTAAGTGATTTCAGGCACGTCAACTACTAGGATCATTACTCCCACAAGTGTAGTGTATGAGTTTGCTCGGGAGGTGACAGCAGTCTTTCCCCCGCTGTATGGCGGGATCGACTTTCCGTCGGCTAGAGGGGTTTTCCCCAACCAGGTATCCCCCACCAGCGGAGCACCGCCGCAGCCGGGACAATCCGTAAGCTCCCGATTGGACCCTCGGCATGTGTGATAGAGTAGTGCATGTTGCTGTGTGTGTAAGGGGTGAGGAGAGAACAAGGAAGAGGAAGGTAAGATCGCGCGCGCCATGCCCCGTTCGTTAAGGTACTTCTCCGGCATTCGCCTGGTATTCAGCGGAGAAACCAAAGAAATCTTCTCAGCTATGTTGAATTCTGCACGATCTGGGCTGTCCGGGTGACGCCACGTCGAAGGCTGTGTTGCCGACGTTTCGACCATCCTGTCGTGGTCTTCCTCAGGGCTGATATCACCATACCAGCCCTCGTGGTCTTCCTCAGGGCTGGCATCACCATACCAGCTCTGAGGAAGATCACGACAGGATGGTCGAAACGTCGGCAACACACCCTTCGACGCGGCGTCACCCGGACAGCCCAGATCGTGCAGAATTCAACATAGCTGAGAAGCTAGTGTCGAAAATCCTGTCTCCATCGGGACTCGAACCTAGGACCTTCCGGTCAGAGGGACTGCAGTCGCATCACTAGATGCACTCTCCCGGTGGAACGTGTGGCGACCCCACATTTAACGACGGAGAGTAAGTTGAAGCTCGCTGTTCGGCAGCAGCCGTTTTTAAGAAGAGGGTTAAACAGTCAAATTTTTAGCGTAAGCAGAGTGAATGACTTCTATGCCGCACCGTTTGGCTTTAGTTATTATATTACTGTTTAATAAATTGCTATCACATACGTTTTTACAGATAATGGCAGTTTTATTTGCATAAAAAACAAACTAAAAATGAACATGCTCCATTTAGTTTTAAAATATATTTTGTTTAGATTCTTTTATTAATCATTTCAATCTTTTTAAATTTCAACCCACTAGAAGTATGTTGATATTTCATATTACAGTACAGAATTTTGAGTACAGCACAAGGAGTAAACGTAACTCAATTAACAATTAACTTAACTAGTTATTAAAATACTTTTAAGGCCAATAGTAACTGACAAAAAAGTTCACATTTATTAAAATTCTCGGACTAGACGTTTTGACCCTATGGATCTAGGTCGTAGATAGGTCGTCCTATAGATTGAGGTATTGTTCTGGAAATCTATCATACGATAAAAACTAAGTAAAAATAATGGTGCAGAATGAGACAAATTGTCTATAACTGAAAAACTTACCAAAGTGTGGCAGGGGAAATCGTGTCAAAAAACGCATTGTCATAATCAAAATAAATTGATAATGTTACATTAGTTAACTGGTGTGGATGTCACCAAAACGACCCATAGCGGTGATATAGCCATGTTGTAGTCTTAAGATGTAACAGTAACAAAACATCATGTATCACACATGATTTTATAGTACTTGAAATACTAGATATCTTTAATAGTTACAATAAGCATATAAAATTCACAGAGATTAACACCAATGAGATTGACACCAATAAGAGTTTAAAGTTTTTACATTTAACCATTATAAGAACCGGCCATAATCTGTCATTCAACTGTATCGTAAAGCAGGTAGCCCCAAGAGAATGCTTAATTATTATTCTTCACATCCAGAATCCCAGAGAATCGCTATTGTAGGCGATGTAGTTGATAGAGCGATTATCTTGGCTAAGGACTTAGAAATTATCCAGAACGTCTTACGTCATAAATCATACCCAAGGGAGTTTAGCCAAGCATATTTCAAAGAGGATTAACAAACAAATTTGCGGATGATGATTCTTTAACAATGACTTTTCGGACACGTTTCTTGCCTGCCACACATTGGTAAGGTTTTCAGTTATAGACATAATTTGTCTTATTATATACCATTATTTTTACTTAGTTTTTATCATATTTTACATTTCCAGGAGAAGACCCCAATCCATAGGGTCAAAACGTCGTGTACTTCGATAATTTTAATAAATGTGAACTTTTATGCCTGTTACGTCTATTAAAATTATCATCACAGGCCAATATACTATTAACAAGTTATATTCAAGAAAATTTAATGATATTTAAAAATAATTCTTTGCATAAGAAACATTTTATTGGTGCACCGTTTTTTTCTAATTTCATGAGTAATTCTATGGATCAGAGAAAATTGCTTCTATTTCATTTTCGGTCCACTTTGAAATTTGAGACATTGGGAATGATTATCTGAACAAAAATATAATCACGACTTGAACCAATACTCGAGAGACAATCGAATGATTCTAAATAAGCGAGTTGTTCATTCGATTAATAAAAACAACAACATATCTTTTAATTTTTGTTCTTCAAAACTGCATAAAAGCTTATTCGACGAGCACTGTATGTATACAATATTTGATAATTGTACTGTAGTATTTACTACTAGACTGTAAGATTACACTAGATTCTGTGAGCAAACTCAGCCATCCCCGAGGCTCTTTGGTTATTTTAAAGCAAACAAAACTCCCCACCACGGTGCAGGAGGCGAACATTAATTATCGGGCGAAGATTTTTTTCTATAATAGTATACGAAGAACAATTCTTATATAACTATTGAACTTCGTACATTTTCTATTCGCACGCAAATCGTCACTAAAACGTTTGAATAATCAATGTCTTTTTATGGAACGCAGGCAACGATGCCAACGGATTTGCCGCACGGAATGTGCACTTTTCTCGTCAAGTTTGTTCACCACTGCCGCCGTTGCCTATGGGCTCTTGACATCGGTCTGCGGAGTAAGCCACGTGCATGAAGATCTTGTCATTCGCATCCTTCTTCATCTAACATCTAACTTCATCTAACATCACGGTGCTAGACGACTCAATGCTCCGCTGCCCTACGGTTTGTCATCGCCTATACTATACCGTTGTAGTTCCTAGGCGGCATTTCGATGATAACCCCCAGGTCTGCAGTGCACGCTTGGATCTTTCTGATAACGTACGGAAATTATGATTCGATATAAGAATGAAATATATTACATTAACTGCAGTCGACTCCGGTTATAGTGAACTCTCGATTATAGTGAGCCTAAGTCTCCGATCCCACTTCACTTGCATTACAAATAAGCGTAAGAACATTCGGTTATAGTGAACCTGAACCTCGTATATAGGAAATACAACGAAAATTAATTTCCTTCTGGAAAAGAATATATCGCGTCCGTGCCACAAATGCCAACATTAGGCGGGTTGAAAATAATATCAACCAAAGGTCATAATCAAAGAAGTGTCTCCTGAGGTGAAGGTAGCGGATGGGGACCTTACTGATGACGTGCTACTCAGTTGCACTGCAAAAAGAATGGCAGTGTCCTACCACGGCTACAACTGGCGGCGGCGACACGTAATTACAATAATTCAATTTTAAGATTTTTGTTACTTGATATTCCACGGGAGAAAGTGCGTTGTGTTGTTAACACTTAAAATTTACAGTGATGACAAACGGATGAACATATTAGTCTATTCATCTTTAGTATCTATCTTGTTAGATAGTAACCCTTGTTAACTAGGGTTAAAAGAATTTTAAAACCTGAACATTTTGGTAGGAAACGTCAATACTTGTTGAGCTGTAGTCATTAACTTTTTTACTAGCTAGTTTTCAATAATTAAAATTAATTTTTTTGTTCTTTTATAAATTACTATTTTTTTTAGAATAAAATGAATGATTTTTCTAAAAATTGCAAAATAATTGCATAACTTAAATGTGCTTCATATTTTAGATTATTTAAATGTTACTTCTGAAACGGCATCACTTGAAATTGTAAATGAACAATTATAGACTGCATGTACAGAGTCAACAAGTAAATTTTAGACCCCAAAAAGTTACAGACTTTTAACTTTGAGCGCGTTTTGCTAAGTCATTTTATAATTCATTATTCATGTGCCGTGGAATATGTGAAAAATTCTTAAAGTTACCAAAAACTATGAAAAAACCAGTAAATTGTCCAAAGTATACTATTGCTCGAAGAAAAAATGTCCCATCAAATTCTATCTCCCCAACCGTGCAGACAAACTTTGGCACCCTTCGAGCCGGGGGAGGGATGCTTTGACCAATCACTAGCAGTTAGAAACTTTGTTTCTATATGAGTGGCGCTAAATCCCGTGGGACGGGAAAGACGCTATCTCGGGGCGGGCCCTGCTTGTTTACTTCCGACACAGAAATACTGTCACCTCTCGCTGTCGTCGGACAGACTTTGCCAGGACCGAAAAACGCGAGTTAACCATTTTGCAACAATTAACGATTTTATAAAAAGTTCCAAAATATGCGAGAACTATTCGCTGGAACGGCCTGGGGGAGTCAGCAAATTTTGTCTTAGTTGAACTTTTCAAACTAGCACTTTCGACAGGAGTTGCAAATTCATTGCTAAAAGTTGGTTTAATTGTTGCGAAGTGCTAAATATTCATTGGTCTATTGACACCAATACTCGTCCACCCCCACCCCCCGAAATAATTAACCGTCAGGCAAAATCTGTCAGTTGACAGCGAGAGATGGCGGTCTTTCCGCCTCATAAGTAAACAAACGTGGCACCGCCTCCGGGACAGTGCCTTTCTCGCCCCCCATGGGATTTTGCGCCAGTCACATCGACACAAATGTTCTTCTGCTAGAGATTGGTCAACGCATCCTTTCCCCGGCTCGAAGGTGTTCAAGTTCGTCTGTGCGGTTGGAAAAATAGAACTGAATAGGAATTTTGTCTTTGTACTAGAGTACATATAGCGTAACAGGCGATTTAGAGGCAAAAAGGTGAATAAATTTTAGCTTTCCATGAAAGATGGCAAATGTTCGCTCAATCCTCACAAAAACTCCTGAAAATTAACCAAAAATCCAAAAAACAACAGAAAATAACTAAACTGGTCGAAAAATGTACGAAAATATCCAAAAAATTTGACAACGTCCGAGATAATCATTGCAAACACCGCCCAAAATTATTTCACAAGTGACTGAAAATTGGATAAGGGGACAAGAAATTTAATTGCTCCCTCTTGGTTAACGCCGCCACGCCAATGCAACCATGGCCTTCATTTTTAATTGAAGGTACCCACTACCGGGTCACTATTTGAATAGCATGAAAATTCAGTTATGAATTAAGAGAGTCAGAATATCGGGGAGAGGCAGTGCCTCTGTCAGCTCTCCCCTTCGATATTCGTAAAGACCACGCGTCTTGCTTGCGACCCACCTGTCCAGCCACGGCGTAGCCTCCATTCTCGGCCACGATGCGCTCGAACCGCCCCAGGTAAAACGGCACCGTGTCGCGCATCAACTCCCGCTTGCGAGCTTCCTTCTGCGCAGGCTCGGTCTCTGCGCGCCACTGGAACAGAGCTGCGATTCCCGCCCTTGACGACCAACCTGTCACCAACGTCGCTAGTCAAACTGACTTCTAACCCAAGTGAGCTTAGCAGGGGCGGATCCAGAGACGATTAGGGGGAGGCGGGATTTGTATGATTATATATATATATAGAATTATATATATATAATTATATATATATATATATATATATATATATTTATATATATATATATTTATATATATATATTTATATTTATATATATATATATATTTAATAATTTTATATATATAAATATATACGAATTATATATATTAAATTTGTTCAAGAGGATTGGTTGCCCGCGACCGGAACTCGAGCCCGTGCCTTCTGATTTACGCCCAGCGGCTCTAACCACGGAGACAACCAATCTTTTGAACAGTATTCCGAGCACGATTATCGCTCCTCGTATACATTATTTAAACTATTCTTTGAACAAATTTAATTATTAAATTGCATTGTTATCAGTAACGTGGTCACAATTTGGATTCTTTTTACGCAATGCGGAATATATTCTCCGAGCGTAATTGCGTCCAACAAGGTGACGGGATAGTGACATTTATATATGTATATTATATATGTATATATATGTATATATGTATATATTATATGTATATATGTATATATGTATATATGTATATATATATGTATATATGTATATATGTAATATATGTATATATCGTATATATGTATATATGTATATATGTATATATGTATATATGTATATATGTATATATGTATATATGTATATATTATATATGTATATATGTATATATGTATATATGTATATTGTATATATGTATATATGTATATATGTATATATGTATATATATATATGTATATATGTATATATGTATATATGTATATATGTATATATGTATATATGTATATATGTATATATATATGTATATATATGTTTATATGTATATATATATGTATATATATAAGAGCATAAAAATAATATAGACTACATAAATTATAAACAAGGTAAATTATTTATCATAAAATGCGTTTAACAAAATTAAAATATTAAATTTAATATTTAATGAATACTTTATGGTTTTAAATCAAAAAATAGGATGACTCACCTCATGCTGTGATACGTTTTATTCGTTTCAATGATAATCCGAATATCTTTTTGCAGAGTGAGAGTAATGTAATGCTGCGCGATAAAACGGCGAATTTTCGGCAGAAAAACTCTTATTACAGGACCATGGTAAAGAAAAAGCGGATAAATCCAGTTGCTAAATTTAGAAAAAATCCTCTAACACGTGGTGTAGGTCTATGCTTTGGGGGTCCTTGAAACCGAAAAATTGGAAGACGGCACAACGTCTTGTTTGGCCATTTGTGAACTACGTTAACGATAAATCTTTCATCCGATTTCCTCCAAAACTTATATTTTCCTATCGATCTGGATGATGTCACGGCCCCTGTAATTTGAGACCGATATTTTAATTTTGGGGTATTTTATATGAATCCCCTGGGGCTTTTTCAATTTAAAAATGGTGCAGGTCTCATGATCGTTGAAAACCCTGCTTTTGTAAACTTTGCCAAATTTCAAAATGTGTTCGTAGTCTTCCTACAACAAAAAATTTAAATATTTAATTTTTTTCCTTAATGAAATATGTTCCCTAAATATAGATTTTGAAATAAGGTCACATTCAATTTTTCGAAAATATGAGTATTTTATAAGTAATTTTTCATGAAAATACTGGCGAGAAAGTACGTGTTGTTTTAGCGCCATTAATTACATAAAAGTATCGTGATAAGTTACAATTAATAGCTAATAAAATAACGTTATAATTAAGTAATAAGTTATAATTATAAATAAGTTAAAATTTTTGGGGAAGGGGGAATTTCCCTCATGTGGGTGATCTGGGCTGTCCGGGTGACGCCGCGTCGAAGGCTGAGATGCCGACGTTTCGACCATCCTGTCGTGGACCCGGACAGCCCAGATCACCCACATGACTCTGGTCGCGGAAGCCTACAACTTCATCGAATTTCCCTCATCTCCACCCCCGTGGATCCGCACCTGGCTTAAGACACAGAGACACAGTGTATACCCTATTCTTACAAGAAATTAAAGAAGAAAAATGGAGCCGTTTTTGAGAAAATTTTTAAAACGTTCCAAAGGCTTTATGTAAAGTACACACAAAAACTAATGAATGAGTTTCAAAATCGCCGAGCTTTGACTCAGGTCAAATAGACTGGGGTTTCTTTAATTTGCAAAAAGTCCTACGTATGGTTTAGGCGCCAGTGTTGTTCACGTACATACATCACATCAGACAGAGGGACGGAATCGTTTTTACATAACTTTACTTATGCTATGTATATACGAACGCATTCGGGAAAGTAAAAATTAATATGTGTTTTTAATGAAACAATTTCATCAATATAAATTTCGCAACTAAACTAGGTTGTTAATTGAGTCGAATTGCCAATTTTTCATTTTAAATTGTCTGCTGTATTATTAAGTTTATATTTTGTTAATAAATTTGTGCTTGGTTGATGGATTTAAAAGATGACTTTCTTACCGTGTAAAGCTTAAAATGTAAATTTGTTTTATTTTACATTGTTCTATGGAAACGAATTCTGACAAAAACATTTAGATACATATAGTAAATGATGCAATGTGCTACAGATCGCATATGCTCCATAACGATGTCACAGTTTTAACGTAAATACGCAATTTGGGATCCGCCGTTACTGAAAAACTGTTGTTTTTTAAATGATCCGTCCGTAAGACAGTCGATCTTTCAGACCGTCTGTCATTCAGACCATCCGTCAGTCTGTCCGTCACTCCGTCCATCCGTCTCTCCGGCCATCCGTTACTCCATCCATCCATCCGTCACTCCGTCGATTCGTCAATCTGTCCATCCGTCCTTCCGTCCATCCGTCACTTCGTCCATTCATCACTCCGTCAATCAATTCGTCCGTCAAACCCTACATTCAGTGAATTTTTATAAAAAAATATTCTGATCGATCCATCACGACTTGATACCCTGAGAATTTGAAACGAATCTTTTAAGTTTTGCTGTTACTTACTTTACATAAATTTTGAACTATATTTTCGAAAATTACTCAGAAAGTGCTCCACATCTTTTCTTAAATTTTTTTATTAGAATAGATTGAAATATTTTTATACAGGTGGCTCTCCATCCAATTATCATTAAACCCTCCGAATTTTCAAAGTTTACCAAAGTTTAAATAGGTTAAGAGGTTTTTGTGTCGTGTTTGAGGTGGCATCTGAGTGCCTCGGGTATCACGTCAATACGCTAATCCTTCCATAATCTCTTCGCATGACCGGTATATATGTGAGGAGATTGTACTATCTGCCTATTAAATTGAGAAACTGGATCTCTACATCCAGAGCAACGTAGAAACATCGAGATGAGTTTATGGGCCACCATGTGTATACATGTAACGCTACAGGACCGAGCTGGTCCTATTGATTACGATGGCGTGATGTTTATGGAGCGCGAGGTGCCTCTTCTCAGAAAATTGGCTCCAAGAGAGCATTAGGTAACACGGGAGGCTCTGGTAGGTCTTGTAGAAACTTGGAAGGAGAGATGAGGGTGGGGAAAAACAAAATATTATCTCTGGCTCAAAAGACTAAGAATGTAACTAAGACAAGAGAGTCAATGTCATTTTGAAGCACCACTTGTTTCTTTCTCTCGTATGTATAAAGTATTGTAAAGCTGTAGTGGATAATCCCAATTTTTCGACAGAAAACCTCGGTCTTTGATACCGAAAACATGGATTTGTCTTGCTCCTATGTGTATTAAATAACTTTCTCTATTACGTTGTGTTGTCAAAATACATGTGTTGTGAGTCTTTGAAGCTGAAAAAATTGGTTTTCATCACAGTACTGTTCGTTCGTCTGTGTTTGTGACCATCGCTAGCGACTAAATCGTCCACAGGGCTTTTATCAAAATTCTCATTTCCTGCTCGAACTGGCTAATAAATTTGAATTTGCCTTTTGAATTGGTCTCTTGAATATGAAATTGATATTTTAACTTTGGAGGGTTCTTTTTCGTGAAGTCCCAACTACTTTCAAAACTTTTTAAAATAACGCCGCATTTTCTATTTAAAGCTATTGCTGAAATTTAGCAAATTGACTTATAAAAATGTACTATTCCAAATTTCGTTAATTTTTTATATGTAATAGGCAAATTATTTATAACAGTACTTGGATTCTGACTTTAGACCTATTACTGTGGTGGGTTAAGATGCGGCATGCGAAACCTAAGTACTAAGGTTCGAGCGTTTTGTTTCTGTGTTGAATACACATTTTTGCTAGTTCAACTAATATTATTACTTTCGTAAGTATATACGGAAATTATTTGTAATATACATAAAAACAAGTCATGCGGAAAATATATTTCGAAATTTCAACGGAAAAACACCCATTTGGGGTCTCCTGAAGCCTAAATAATATCGGTTTTCAAAACGTCTGCCGGACCGTCTGTAAACAATACTATCGCCTAAACTATTCCTAGAATTTTTACCAAAAGGAATACTCCGTGGTCGATCTGGTCCGATTCAAAGTCCTATGAATTTCATAAGATTTTTAAAACTTTTTATACTACTTTATATAAAGTATCTCGAACGTTTTTAACATTTTCCAAAAAAATGATTTCAAATTTTTTCTTTAAATTTCTTATAAGAATAGAATTAAATGCACTTAAAATACGCATATAGTCATTTTTTTACTATTAACTCTAAATTTTGCAAATTAGAAAAGTTGGAACTGCTTTCGGCGTCTTTCTAAATCTACAATATTTAAGATGGCTATTTTTTCTTCAAATGAAATTTGTTCTCAACACATAAGATTTTTTGCATGCATCGAAAAATTGTGCATTTTTAGAAATGCATAAATGCCATCCTTGGAAACGGCTCTATTTTTTCTTAAATCTTTTATAAGGATGATGCTGAATGCAGTGAATAACACGACACAAATACCACTTTGATGTTTTCCTTAGTTTTCCAAAAATT